TACCTGAAGATCTGTTAGAAATGTGTGTTCATTTGTTTCCTGTGACGGGGGCCTGAAGCAATGGCGTTACACTGAGAAAGGGGCTGCTTTCTTCCCACAGTGTGAGGGATGGGTCGCTTTGGGCCTGCAGCAGGGCAGCACGTCACAGCGGGAGCATGCAGAAGCGGGGACAGCGGCACTCATCTGGTGGCCAGAAAGCAAAGAGCACGCAAGGCAGGGTCAAAGGTCACACAATCCCCTCCAAGGGCATGCTCCCAATGACCTGAGACCTCACTTTAGACCCCGCCTCTCAGTGATTCCCCACATCCCCAAAGCACCACCCAAGGAACCACACCTCTAGCCTGTGGACCCCCGGGGGGGGGGGTTCAATATCCACAGTACAGCAATATTCTTGTGCTTTAAGCATTATTAAGGCTAGTTGTCTGTACTTCTATTAAAAAGTAAGAAGGGTAAGGAGCTGGAGAGAAGGCATAGCAATTAAGAGCCCTGGCTGCTCTCCCAGGACACCTGGATTCTGTTCCCATGACCCATATGATGGTTGACAACGCTCTGTAACCCCATTCCCAGGGGTTCTGGCGCCCTCTTCTGGACTCCACCGGCATTGTGTGCACATGGTACAGAGGCATAAATGCCAAGACAAAACACCCACACGCTTAGAATAAAAATAAGTTGATTTCAACCGGGCAAGATGGCGCACGCCTTTAATCGCAGCACTTGGGAAACAGAGGCAGGTGGATGTCTGAGTTCAAGGCCACCCTGGTCTACAGATCAAGTTCCAGGACAGCCAGGGCTCCACAGAGAAACCCTGTCTCAGGGGAAGAAAGAAAGAGAGAGAGACAGAGACAGAGAGAGAGACAGAGAGACAGAGAGAGAGGGGGGGGAGTTGATTTCTGCGTTTTTGTTTGTTTTAAGGGGCAAGCATCATGGTGGCACATGCCTACAAACACAAGCATTCACGAGGCAGAGCCAAGAGGATCTCAAGTTCAAGATCAACCTACAGCAACACAGACAAACCCTGTCTTCCTCCCACACACCCAAAACGCGGGAACAAAAGTACAGGCACGAGAGCTCACACCTACAACCCTAACTCTCAGCAGGCTAAAGCAATAGGTTCCGGACCAGCTTGGGCTCCGTGCCGAGTTCCAGGCTAGCCTGAGTGAAGGAGCCTATCTCAAACAAGCAAAACAAGCCGAGAACAAATCTCTCCCCTCAGTGTTCTCAATGGGACAAGGGTACACACAAGCCTAGAGAAAAAGTGACACATATGTCCGCAGCTTGGAAAGGGGACAAAAGGAGGACAAAGCCCTCCCTCTAGTGTCCCAATACTTGGTCAGCAGGCATGGCTACACCTTGTTACCCAACCTCTCCATATAGCTGCATAGATTTCCCCCTCAGGTAGGGAGACTGAATGAATGTTGGCCAACATTGTCTGGGCCATCTTGATATTTTGAAATCTTTCTTTAAAGCTAACCAGGGGATCAAGGACTTCTAGAGTCAGGCTGGCCAGGCTCTGAAGACAAACATCCCTGTTTGCTGTCCCTGTTTGCATTTCTGCTGCTGAGGTAAAACTTTCTGGCCAAAAGCAACTTGAGGAATTATCTCACTTCACCCTTCTAGACCAGAGTCCATCATTGACGAAAGTCAGGTCAGGAACTCAAGGCAGGAACCTGGAGGCAGGAGCTGATGCTGAGTCTTGGAGGATGCTGTTTACAGGCTTGCTTAACCTTTCTTTTTCTTTTTTTTTTTTTTTTTTTGGTTTTTTCGAGACAGGGTTTCTCTGTGGCTTTGGAGGCTGTCCTGGAACTCGCTTGGTAGTCCAGGCTGGTCTCGAATTTACAGAGATCCGCCTGCCTCTGCCTCCCGAGTGCTGGGATTAAAGGTGTGCGCCACCAACGCCCGGCTGCTTAACCTTTCTTATAGAGCCCCAGCCCACCCCCCAGGAACGGCACTACTCACAGTGGGCTGCGCATCATTTAGCAGCTTTTAAAAATGCCTCAAGCCAATCTGATCAAGGCAACTCTTCAGTTGTGGTTCCCTCTTCTCGGGTGACTCTAGGTTTGCGTCCAGTAGACAGTTGGCACTATGACAACAGGCTTGACCATCTTCTACCTTGGTGACCTCAGGTAGGTTACTTAGTCCTCTGGAACCTTAGTTATCTGTGCTGCCACCTCTGCATAGGGCCCTAGTGAAAACTAGATATGATATGTTCAGAGGGCATATGGTGCTAGGATTGTGGGGGAATGCCTATTTGATTTCAGGGGCTTGGGTGGAACCGAACAGAACTGGTCAAACATTGGCTGCTTGAAGTGCTAGGGCTTAAGGTTTAAGCTAAAACGAAGAAAGCCTGATACTAAAAAGTCATACTCAAAGGGATGAAGAGATGGCCGAGTGGTTAAGAGTGCTTGTGGCCCTTGCAGAAGACCTGAGTTTGGTTCCCAGCTCACATTCTCCTGTGACTCAAGCTTTAGGGGGATAGGACGCCCCCTTCTGGCCTCTGCAGGAACTGCACATACACAGATACATACACTCATGATCTTTTAAATTGAATTAAAATCAAAGTCACATTCAACACAACACACCTGCATCCATTCGTAAACTGAAACTCAACTATATCATTATTACCCCTGAGCTTCCTACTGGCTTAAGCGATCTCTGTCTCCAACACCCCCAGCACGGGGCCTGCTCTAGCTGCTTTGGCTGCACTGTCAGCCCTGTTGCTGGTTTTTGATAGTTCTGGCTGATAGGCAGAACTGTCTGGAAGCGGGCGGGGGATGGGGGGGCTGCTCACCAAATGCAGGGGTAAAGACTGGAGGCTTGGCGAGCAGAGCCAAGGGGACATGTTTCCTAGGCCTGGGTTGTTTTTCCGGTGGCCGGGCTGAGAAGAGACCTGAGCAGCAGTCACTTTTCTGCGGGAAGAGGGGCATCAGTGGCATCTTGAGGCCAGTCTGATGAACTCAGCCAAGGAACCAGCACCAAGGCCGAGGAAAGCAACCCCTGATCTCAAAACACGCTGGGCAGTAGGACTTTTGCGGGAGCCATCACACAGGAAGCCCCGGCTCGCATACTAACTGATCTGTAGGCAGCCGTGTTCCCCTCGCTGTGGGGAAGGCTGCAGTCACTCTGGCGGAGCTGGAAGCTTGAGGAACGACCATTAAGCTCCCAGGGCAAGCCATAGACAATGGTTCTGATTTTCAGAGAAACTGGATGCATCAATATGACATCGAGCAGCTTGTAGACCTGCTGGGAACGGTGGACCACTACGCTGAGGAGGCAGGAGCAAAGGAGGGAGAGCATTCCCAGTCCAAGCATGCCGCAGGGTGGTGGGGGCCAGGCACAACCTGAGGATACCCACCACCAGCACTGGCACTCGGAAGCTACGGCTGCAGCCACTGCCCCTGCCACCGCTACGCAGTAGATGTTGCAGGGGATATCTAAGCCTCCACCAGGATGAAATCCCTGCGCTCCAAGGCCCCAGGCAGTTAGTTGTGTCTTGTGGACCAGTCCCAGGCCACAGTCTAGCACACAGGCACAAACAGAGAGACACACTTCCCAAACACGGAAGACAGATTCTGCAGGCGCCTGCAGCCTGCAGAGAGAATGCAGGAAGAACTGCACATCGCAGCTATGCCACCAGGGGGCGCGCTGTGCAGGGGAACACTGACAAAGTAGGAGGAAATCTAGAGCCAAGAGGCTTGTGATTCCCTGAGTTAATGCCCCTCCCCAACATAAATAAAATCCCGTTCATAGAGCAGGAACACTGTTCTTGCCTGAATGTCATAATAAACCACTTATTTGGATATCAATCTACTGCTGTGACATCTGCCTCAAAATAGTGGCATTGGTGAAAGGGAGAGAAAACCCAGAGGCTGTGACACAGGGCTGAATACGTAATTCTGGTTTTTTTCTGCGTTAACGCAGGCAGGGATTCTTCAACAGCAAACTTTTCCAAAACGGCGGGTCCTGAACCGACTTACTAACAGCAGATCAGAGTGTCCAGGTTTTCTTACTAGGTCAATCTTAGGGTGTCCAGACCTCAGGCAACATGGACTCCCCACCGGTCTCCATCACGGGAGGACTCTCAACAGGGGAAACGTGTCCTGTGGCTACTAAACAGTAATTAAAACAAAACGGAAAACCCAAGGAACTAGCGAGCAATAAACAAACCCTTTGAGGGGTAACCCCGGTTACGTGGGGCTCTTTCCGATCAACAAACACGGATTCAAACTTGTCTTCCTATAAAGCTGCATTTGACCAAGGATCTTAAAAACGAAGGAGGCGGGGCTACTGCACCCAGGCCCCTGGCCGGCCAGGAAGCTATAGTTGGGGCTGCTCACAGTGTAGACCACAGTTGTCACTCCGATCTCCAGCTGGCGAGGCCAGATGATCAGTAAAGGGCCCCAAGGTCAGGGCCAGGGCACAGGAGCACACGTAAGAGTGATGGCAACACGACCACGGGTGCACCTTTATCGTGATTAACGCCTCTGGGAAGCTCGTCTCTCACAAGGAAACGGTTAGCGTTCCAGATCACTGTAAGGCTTTGGCCAGCAAGTACCAGGTCAGCACTTAACTCAGCGACCTTAACCATCTCGCTTCTCCAAGGAAACAAGCGCTCGGGACAGAATAAAAGGGGGAAGGAGGAGGGAAGGGAGAAAGGGAGGGAGAGATTGTAATATTTTTTAAAAGGCGCTTGGGACTAGAGAGATGGCTCAACGGTTAAGAGCATTGGGTGCTTTTATAGAGGATCCGGGTTCAATTCCCAGCACCTACATGACAGCTCACAAATGTCTGTAACTCCAGGTCCCGGGGACCCAACACCCATACACAGACATGCATGCAGAAAAAACAGCAATGCATATAAAAATAAACAAATTTTTAAAAAAGCTCAAGGCCAGCACTGCCAGCGTGGCTCGCTCAGGCCCTGGGACCAGCCCAGCTCCCGACCTGGCAGAAGCACTTCCGCCCCCATTCAAAATGGCGAGGGGGGCGGGGCGGGGCCGGCGGGCGGAAGCGACCGGCGAGCCACAGTGGCCCAGCACCATGGCGGCCGCGACCGCCTCCCCGGCTCTGAAGCGGCTGGATCTGCGCGATGCCAACGCGCTCTTCGAGACCCATGGAGCGGAGGAAATCCGCGGCCTGGAGCGCCAGGTTCGAGCGGAGATCGAGCACAAGAAGGAGGAGCTGCGGCAGATGGTGGGCGAGCGCTACCGCGACCTGATCGAGGCGGCCGACACCATCGGCCAGATGCGCCGCTGCGCCGAGGGCCTGCTGGACGCCGTGCGGGCCACCGATCGGTACTGCGCTCGCCTCCGCCAGGCCGGCTCCGCGGCGCCCCGGATCCCGCGGGCCCCCCCGCAGGTCAGTCCGGGACCCGAACCCACGTCCCGCCGCCCGGCCGACCCCACCCCCTCACCTTCCGCCGGAGGAGCCCGCCCCTCACGCTGGTCCGTGCTCCCGGGAGGCGCCTGCCCGCCTTCCTCAGGACGCTGGTCCGCTCCCGGGAAGTCAGCCAGCCGCCTTTTGCTCCGGGAGCCTTCCCGGACTTCCGGACGATTCCCTCGCCTCCCTCGGGTTCCCAGCGCTCTCCTTCCCTTTCAACTGAAAACGCCAGGGGTCTCTCGACAGTCAGGGAACTGAAGTCTCCCGTTTTGCTCACACCTTCCCATCAAGTCATTCATTCCTCATCCCACCTTGTCCCCTGGAGCCTGGAGAATTGGGGGCTGCCGCCAGGCCCTCCCTCTTTTAATAGGTGAACAATTTCATTCAGGGCATCCTGTCTTCCACTCCCTGAAACATTAAAGACCCGGTGCGGAACCTTGACAATTGGCCGAGGCCGGTGAACAGAGGGCACGTAGGGTAAATATTTCTAACCCGGGAGGACTTAATGAAACAGAAAAACAACAAAAGTAGACTCTAACTCTCACTTGGACCTACCTTTCTCATGCTACCTGGTTTTCAGAAAATCCATGCCAAAAAACTGGTAGCATGATGAAACTGCATAAAAGGTTGGAAATGCATTGGCCCTTATCGCTCCTAAGCTGGCTAACTTCAACTATATAAGCCTAGTTCTTAAAAAACCATATTGATTTTCATAGTTATGGCTGACGCCTCTCTGGTGCAAATGCCTTCTCCGTTCCAATCACAAACAAGCCTCCAATTCCTTTTTGGAAGCTTGCACTCATCCAGGAAATAAACCCATGGGAAGTTGAATTTATTTAAATGGAAGTAATTTAGAAGAGCAGTAGAAAATATTTTAGCATAAAGTGATTCATCACCAAAATAATTGTGTCACTTTAGCATAATGGATCTTGGAGTAAATGCTTTTAGGTGTAGGTCCGCCTCAATAAGGACAAGTGAGATTTGGAACATAGATGTCTCTGGCCAGCTGTGCTGCTATAACAAAATACCTGACACTAGGTAATTCATAAGGAACAAAGAGTCATTTCCCCCACAGTACTGGGTCCTCGGAAGTCCAGGGTCCAACTGTAGCCTTTGATGTGTATGTGGACCTGCTTGTCTCACATGGCAGATGGGGAGGAGCACAGAAGAGCCAAACACACACACACACACACACATTCACACACAGACACACATACATGGCACCAGTGAAGACAGAATCGTGAGGTGACAGGGCAGACATTTGAGAGAGGCCTGAAGCCGGGGCCAGTAGGCACAGAAGTCTTTGGTGCCCTCACAAGGGGAGGAGAGAAAGTAGGAAGGGGGTACTTCAGAAAATGGAGAAGCCTGTATAGAAGGCTCCTGCCACCAACAACCAGATGGTGAGATGTTGACCTACGCTGGACCTCGGTGCCCCACTGGCTGAGTGGTGCTAAGTCTGGTTAATAAAACTTCAGTTTTGTTTTGTTTTTAGGACAGGGTTTCAATATTTAACCCTGGCTGTCCTAGAACCGGCTGTGTTTACCACGCTGGCTTTGAATTCACAGGCATCAATCTGTCTCTGTCTCCTGAGTTCTGAGGTTAAGAGTGTGCACTACCACACGTGTGCAAAACTTCAAATCCTAAAATATCCCCCGACTTCTGCCCCCAGCCTGTATAAACGGAGCCATGCTTTCGTTTGATCTCATTCCTTCGCCCTTCAGCCACAGCCACCGTCTGAGAAATTCTACAGCATGGCCGCCCAGATAAAGCTGCTGTTAGAGATCCCCGAGAAGATCTGGAGCTCCATGGAGAACTCTCAGCATCTCCAGGCCACACAACTCTACCTGCTCTGCGGCCATCTGCATAGCCTGCTCCAGCTGGACTCCTCTAGCTCCAGATATAGCCCCATCCTCTCGAGATTTCCCATTCTCATCCGGCAGGTGGCAGCAGCCAGCCACTTCCGGTAAGTGACAGGTTGTCTTTCTGTCTGGACCTCACTTAACCCCTGCTGTGTCAGGGAGTCTCTTCTTTCCTGATACACTGAGTTGCTTCACCCCAAATGTTAGCTATTCCTTGTTGATCTTTGCGAGTCTTTCTAGGTCAACTATTTTGTACGAAAGCAAGATGCTGCTCAAATGCCAGAATGTGTCGGACCAGGCTGTGGCCGAGGCCCTCTGCTCTATAATGCTCCTGGAGGAGAGCTCTCCCCGCCAAGCCCTCACAGACTTCCTGATGGCCAGAAAGGCAGCTATTCAGAAACTTCTGAACCAGCCCCATCACGGTGGGTATGCTTTTCTCTAAAATGTTATCTTTAACAGGTCAGGAGAGCCTGGGGCATCGGTGCTCTGTGTCCAGCCTTCCTGAAAGGAGTTGTTTAAATGAGGGTGGCTTCTCCTTGCAGGTGCTGGCATCAAGGCCCAGATTTGCTCTTTGGTGGAGCTGCTGGCCACCACCCTGAACCAAGCCCACGCCCTTTTCTACACGCTCCCAGAAGGCGTGCTGCCAGACCCAGCCCTGCCCTGCGGCTTGCTCCTCTCTACCCTGGAGACAATCACAAGCCAGCATCCCACGGGTGAGCTCAGAGCCTCCTTCTCACTCATTCAACTCATCTGTCCCATGTCCTCGTTGCTGGGCCAGGGTCTGGGGATAGATCCGGTGAAGTGGGAAGATTCCGACTCCTGCTCTGTGGATGTCATACTTCGGTTGTAAAAGCAGAGGCTGAATCTTCAGAGGTGCAGGCTGCTGTTTGATGTCAGTCCTACCATTGCTGTAAATGCAAGGTACCGGTTGCCTAGCAACACTTGGAGGAGCTTCCCAAAGCCCAAGAGGACTTCCCTGGGGAAGTGAGGTTGAACTGAAAGCTGAAACCAGGCAGTGGTGGCACTTGCCTATTACTCCCAGCATTCAGGAGGCAGAGACAAGTGGATCTCTTGGAGTTCAAGGACAGCCTGGTCTACAGTGTGAGTTTCAGGATAGCCAGAGCTACACGGAGAAACCCTGTCTTGAAAAACTGAGGAAAAAAATCTGAAAGCTGAAGGTTGAGGAGTTAGTGAGTGAGGAAGGGAAGAGAGCCCCGGGTAGAATGAAGAGGAGGTTCAGAGTCACCCCAAAAGCTGGAAAATGCCGCCAGAAGAAGTTTCTGGAGTGAGGGAAGGGCCAGGTGAGAGCAAGGCCGAGGCATGGCCAGGCCCAGGTGATGTGCTGCCGTGTGGGCCGGACATGGGAGGATGCACTTTATCCAGAGAACAGGGTATCCTTCTGTGACCTTGCAGGCGTGGGATGCTCCCATATGTCCCCATGCATCCCATACGTCTTTAAAGTAGCATTTCCCCAACTATAATTACATGTTTTTATGTGGCAGTGGAGTCCTGCAGGACAGAGTAATAAAGAGAGCTAGCAGGAAGCTGTCACCGTGGTCCAGGGTCAGACACAGAATGGGGACTTGGTTAGGAGGGAGCCATTCGGTGGGGCTCATCTCCAGGAGGAAGTGAATGTCAGGCTCATCTGTGAGCAACATCACCTTTCTTACACTTTCACACACGCACACCACACCCTCCCTCCCCTCCAAGCTGGCATGTAATCGTTTATCCATCTCGTGAAAGGTGAGCGCTGGCTGACTGACCTGCCCTGGCGTAAGGAAACAGACATACAAGGTTACCTTGTAGACCCTGTTTCAAACTGAGTGGCTTTTTAAGAAAACAGACATACAAGGTTACCTTGCAGGCCCTGTTTCAAACTGAGTGGCTTTTTAAGAAAACAGACATACAAGGTTACCTTGCAGGCCCTGTTTCAAACTGAGTGGCTTTTCTGAGTAGGGATGGGGTGGGAGTTGGAGACAGGATTTCTCTGCATGGCCCTGGCTGTCCTGGGACTCATTGTAGACCAGGCTGCTGAGTGGCTTCCTACAGAGTGCAGTGAAGGCATTGCCCAAGGAGCAGTGCAGGCCTGTAGGATGACCAGGAGCATCCCCGAGAGGACGGGGCCAGTGGTTGGTCCCTTGGATCTTCAAGGGACCTGGGATGCTAAGGAAAGGGAAATGAATAGCCCACACTTTTTTTTTTTTTGACAAGTTAAGCTCTGTTGCTAGAATGTTAGGGATAGTGCACCTGTATGTAGTACTAGCTACTCAGACGTCTGAGGCAGGAGGACCACTGGGGCTCAGGGTTGGAGACCGGCCTGAGTGACCTGGCAAGATCCCAACACACACACACACACACACACACACACACTCTCTCTCTCTCTCTCTCTCTCTCTCTCTCTCTCTCTCTCTCTCTCTCTCTCTCTGTCTCTCTGTCTCTCTGTCTCTCTCTCTCTCTCCAGGCCTCTACTGTTCTTCTCTAGCAGCAGAATGAACGAGGGTGGGGAAGCTGACACAATGTTTTCCCAGTATCCAAATGTTTTCGCAAATAATGAGGGCTCGGCATTCCCTGTACTCTGTTTATCTAATCTTTTACACACCAGGGGAGTGGGCTAGGATTCTGGAAGTTCCCTCATGCTTTTTGAATTCTTAATATGCTGCTCAAAGCACAGCCTGGATTCTTCTCACTTGGCTTTTCTCCAGGAAAGGGCATCGGTGTCCTGCAAGGAGAGATGAGATTATGCAGCTGGTTCAGACACCTGCCAGCCTCCATTATGGAGTTCCAGCCAGAGCTTCGAACTCTCGCACATCCTATCAGCCAGGAGTACCTGAAAGACACCCTGCAGAAATGGATCGACATGTAAGCAATCGGAAAGCATCCCTGAGGCTTGACCCGCACACAGCCGCCCTTGTGAGACCTGGGCTGAGACTCTCAGTCATCTGGGTGATGTGCCACAGCGTGTCAGCCAGCACTCAGGACACGTTGCTCCCTTTGTCCCCTGTTAGTACCTATGTACCCTCTCTTTAAAAACCAAACAAAGGCCGGGCGGTGGTGGCGCACGCCTTTAATCCCAGCACTCGGGAGGCAGAGGCAGGTGGATCTCTGTGAGTTCCACACCGGGCTGGACTGACAGCCTCCAAAACAATACAGAGAAACCCTGTCTCGTAAAACCAAAAAAAAAAAGGTATGAAAATAGGGATCCAGTAGAGCCCACGGGAGTGGTCTTGTTACAGGTGCAGTGAAGACATTAAAAATGGGATCACCAACCTGCTCATGTACGTGAAGAGTATGAGAGGTCTGGCAGGGATCAGAGATGCCGTATGGGACTTACTTACCAACGAGTCTGCCAGCCACAGCTGGGAGGTGGTGTGCCGGCGGCTTCTGGAGAAGCCACTCTTGTTCTGGGAGGACCTGATGCAGCAGCTCTTCCTGGATCGGTTACAGGTGCGCTGAGCATCTCTGGACCACCTGACACCCCAGCCTAGTTTACTGAATGTTTTCTTTCCCCATTTCTTACCACGCCTGCGTTTTCTAAAAGCTAAGAGAGAAAGCAAGTCGTTATCGGGTGCCCCTCAGTGATGCTCTTTGTCCTCTGCCCTCATCCTTGTGGCCTGACAGAAATAACTTGAGGAACATGTATTTCAGCTCAGATTTTAGACAGTTCAGTGCATGGTCAGTTGGCTGATTTGGGTCAGTGGTGAGGCAGAACACGTGACCAGAGCGTGCGGTAGAGCCCGTTTACCTCATGGCAGACAAGAAGCAGATGTGGGTGGGGGAACAAAAGTACAAACCCTGAGAACGCACACCCCGTGCCCTTGCTTTCATTAAGCTCAGTCTTAGAGTTGCCACAACCTTCCAGTGCCTCCAAGGGAGACCAAGCTGTTAACCTCAGCCTGGGAGGCATTTCGCAGTCAGGCACTAACACTCACTGTGAGTGTGGTAGAATGTTCTGGATGCCTGCATAAACTGCCATTTCAGCTCATTTGGAAAATTCCATAAAACAATGGTGACTAAAACTCTGCTCTCCTTCCCTAGACACTGACCAGAGAAGGCTTTGAATCCATTTCTGGCAGCTCCAAAGAGCTTTTGGTCTCAGCTCTGCAGGAACTGGAGGCCAACAACTCCACATCGAATAAGCATGTCCACTTTGAGCAGAACATGTCTCTCTTCCTCTGGTCCGAGAGTCCCAGTGACCTGCCTCCTGATGCTGCCTGGATCAGCGTGGCAAACCGGGCTCAGTTTGCCAACAGTGGTCTCTCCATGAAAGCCCAAGCGGTCAGCCCTTGTGTACAGAGCTTCTGTTCTGCCCTGGACTCTAAGCTGAAGGTCAAACTGGACGACCTCCTGGCCTACCTTCCCTCCAGTGAGACACCACTGCCCAAGGACCCCTCCCCCGTGCACCAGGCTAAGAACTCTGCGTTCGATAGATACGCAGATGCTGAGACTGTGCAGACCATGCTTCGGACTCAGTCAGTGGCCTGTGTCAAGTATCTCGTGGGCTGCATCCAGGCAGAGCTGCAGACCATTGAAGAAGTCACACAAGACCAGAAGGGTATCCTTCACGGCACCAAGCTGCACGCAGTCCTCTTCATGGCCAGACTCTGCCAGGCCCTGGGAGAACTGTGCCCTCACCTGAAGCAGTGTATTGTGGGAAAGTGTGGAGCCTCTGAAAAACCATCGAGAGAGGCCAGGGCTCTCAAGAAGCAGGACAAGGGGAGAGCTCAGGAGGTGCTCCCCGCGCAGGCCCAGTGGCAGGAAGTGAAGGAGGTCCTGCTCCAACAGAGTGTCATGGCCTACCGGGTCTGGAGCTCAGCGCTTGTCAAAGTGAGTGACAGGGAGTGACAGGGCTTCTTGGGGTCTTACTTCAGTCTGGCCATCCTCAGTCCTGTTGAGGAGTAATGCTTATTCATAGCTGTGGTAACCTGTGCCACGCAGGTAACCCTATTCCTCAGCCTAGACTTTAGAGCATGTTTCTCTTACTAACCTGGACAGGGAACCCTGCTTCCTGCTTGCGTGTCAAGACCACAGCCCCTGTGGGTCTCCAAGCAGCTGACACCTGGCATTGCTAGGGTGGCTAGCAACTGCATTCTCCTGCCGAGTGTTAACTTGCTGGGAGGGTGGGGCTGGCTGCTTGCCACCCACACACTGGTAATTTTAAACCAATTCTGCAAGGGCCTGAGGAACTAATGTGGCCATTCTCTTTTCATCACCAGTTTCTGATTTGTGGATTCACTCAGTCGTTGCTTCTAAGTGACGCTGGCTCAATCCTGGCCACTGCCACCAACTGGGACGAACTAGAAATTCAAGAGGAGACGGAGTCTGGCAGCAGTGTCACATCTAAGATACGCCTTCCTTCTCAAGTGAGTTGGTCCCACTGGCACAGGTACTTGGGTTACAAAAGAGAAGGAACTGCGCTGGGAAACGGTGATTTTGGAAAGCCATTTCCCTGAGTGCTCTGGGAGGGGCTGCATTGGAAGTCAGGGCTTATGTGGGGGCTGCATTGGAAGTCAGGGCTTATGTGGGGGCTGCATTGGAAGTCAGGGCTTATGTGGGGGCTGCATGTGGCTTGCTGGGTGAACTTAGCCATGTATTCTTCTGATCTTTCAGCCATCCTGGTATGTACAGTCCTTCCTGTTTAGTTTATGTCAGGAAGTTAATCGGGTTGGAGGCCATGCTTTGCCAAAGGTGACTCTGCAGGAGCTGCTGAAGACCTGTATGGGCCAAGTCATAGCTGCCTATGAGCAACTCACAGAGGAACACCAGGAAAAGGTAGGTATTTGAATGTTTTCCCAGACAGACAGACCTTTTTTCTTGAATTTGGGCAGTCTGTATGAAGGGCACAAAATGGTGTCATTGCCCAGCCCAGGCCCCAGTCCTGTAAATAGGCTCTGGTCAAGCCTTTAACCCCTTGACCTACGCAGGATCAAATGTAAGCAGTAGATGGGCCGCTCAGCCTCGAGTGGCTTTGTCACGTGATACTGTCCTCCCATGCTGGCTGCCAGTGAGATACAGGACGGACACTTATGCATGGAGAGGTTCTCTATGACGGGAGGCGGTCCCAGCCTCTCAGCCACCACTGTATCTGCACTTTTGACCCTTGACCTGTCCTAGTTCACTGGAACATTTAAAGGAGAGCTGAGAATTCAGTGGTCTTCATCCTGGGCCTCATTGCTCACATACATGTCCAGGCAAGAGCCCTGCTCCTCTGTGATGGCCACCTTCAGCCCAGAGCAAGATTTATCATGTACACAGTGTTCTGTCTGCATGCATGCTTACACACTAGAAGAGGGCTCCAGATCTCACTACAGATGGTTGTAAGCCACCATGTGGTGGCTGCAAGTCCAACCCAGGACCTCTGCAAGAGCAGCCAGTGCTCTTAACCTCTGAGCCATCTCCCCAGCCAAGTCTCAGATTTTTAAAGACCAGGGTTTTATATTGAACACTTTGAGAGTAACCTGGCCCTGTGGGTGTCAACAGCGCCTTCTGAAACTGTATCAAGCTGTAATAGAAGCAGAACCTGCAGCTGCCCTTGGGACCATGTAAGGAATCCCCCTCACCAGCCAGCCTTCACTTGCAGAAAGAAGGGACGTTTCCAATGACCCAGAACCGAGCCCTGCAGCTCCTCTATGACCTGCGCTACCTCAATGTCGTTCTGACCAGCAAGGGGGAGGAAGTGAAGAGTGGCCGGAGCAAGCCAGACTCCAGGTAACTATTCCTACTGGGCACCTCCATGGCAGCCGCTTCCTGATGCAGTTAAGGGACAGTACACTTAGAAGGGTTCCTCTTGGGATTTTCCCATTTTTACAGTGGTGGGAGAGCACAGCATTCAGTAGAAACCATACTTCAAGTCCAGGATTTAGATCTTTGTGTGGGCGGGCCAGCAACAAACCACACCTTGTACTACACATGCTATCTATAAGCTACTTACTAGCCAGTAGTGGCGCACACCTTTAATCCCAGCACTTGGAAGCCAGAGGCAGGTGGATCTCTGAGTTTGAAGCCAACCTGGTCTACAGAGTGAGTTCCAAGACAACCAGAGCTACACACAGAGAAACCCTGTCTTGGGGGGGTGGGGTGTCTATGAGCTGAGCGCCATCTCACACTGTTGTGTCCCGGGGTTCAGCCCCATCTTACAATAGTCTGTATGCTGGTGTATGGCAATAGCCTAAGATGAGGCCTGTTTCCTGAGATGTCCCCAAAGAAAGCCTGCCACATACTGCAGGCTTTCTTAAACAGTGGTTAAATTATACCTGCTGAAGCTGGGTGGTGATGGTGCACACCTTTAATCTTTAATCCCAGCACTGGGGGGGGGGGGGAGGCAGAGGCAGATCAATGTGAGTTTGAGACCAGCCTGGTCTACAAGAGCAAGATCCAGGACAGCCTCTAAAGCCATAGAGAAACCCTGTCTCGAAAACAAAACAAAAGTAAGTTCCATAGCCAGGTGCAGCAGGCAGAACCTGTTTGGTAAGTAGAAGGCACTGGCCTTAAGCATCCTGTCAGTCTAGAACTGACTGTCCTAAGACATTAAGCAACTCTGTTGGGCAGTGCCCACTCTGAGGTTCCTATTGTAGTAAAATGTTGCCCGGCTGCTTTCTGTCCTGAAGTATGTGGAGAATAATGTTTCTAACTCTTCTCAGAATTGAGAAAGTGACCGACAGGCTGGAGGCCCTCATCGACCCTTTTGACCTGGATGTTTTCACACCACATCTCAACAGCAATCTTAATCGCCTAGTACAGCGAACTTCTGTAAGTTGGGTCACAACCATGCTCAGTGAAGATGAGATGGAGTGCCTGCTCCAGTCCTTCATGCACAAAGGGGAGCTACAAATAAGCCACTTCCTGGAAAGGGATTAGCTAAAATGCCATAAGCTTCAATAGCTGTGCTGGAAGTAAGGGTTAGTTAAATTGATTTACACCAGCCTCACAAAAAGAAATACATGGGTGCCCCGCCCAGTGTGTAGGTAGGGTGAGCGCCACTGACCTGCCACCAAGTTCAGTCCCCAGAACCCACATGCTAGAAGCCTGACTGCAGAAAGTTGTCCTCTGATCTCCACATGTGCTTGTGGACATGGATGGCCTGCTGGCACACGAAAGCATGCACAGCACATGCTTTAGAAAAGAATTACATGGCTTTGAGATTCTCACCCATGGCAGACTAAGGAGCACTCTCCCAAATGATGGCCTCGAAGTAACTGTCTCTCGGGGTGACATCCACTGGGCCTCCTCCTCTCTTCCCTGTAGGTTCTATTTGGATTGGTTACTGGTCCAGAGAATCAGTTTGCCTCCCGGAGCAGCACTTTCAACTCCCAGGAACCCCATAATATCCTGCCACTAGCCTCCAGCCAGATCAGGTGAGTAGCTCCTGAGGCTCTGAGGGGCCAAGGCTGCTTGTTCCCGGCCGTGAAACCGTCTCTCTTGTCTCAGGTTTGGACTGCTTCCCCTGAGCATGGCAAGCACGAGAAAGGCAAAGGCAACCAGCAAAGGCATCGAAACACAAGCCCAGGTTAGTGCTAAGAGGAGGCTCTCCAGGTTCTTCCAATCCCCGCCCCCCAGCCTTTAGAAATACACCGTTAGGCACCATGTGGCGATGCACGGAGGCTGCTTTAATGGCGGCGCAGTAGAGTACAAGGTTTCACTAGCTCAAACTCATAGACTCTCATCAGCTGGAGCAGATAGCCTTAAAGCAGGAAGGGACACAGACCCAGACCGTTCAGCACACACAGTACAGCATGGAGATGGTTTCTTGCATTTTGCAGGATAAAAACACTGTTGGCTGGCACTCTGGCATTGTGATCAGCATGGGGAGAAGACCCTTTGTCTTGCAAATGGTCTCATCTGTGCCTTTAGTTGGGTGGGAAATAGGAAGAACTGTGCTTCCTCAAGCATTGTTTTATTAATACATGTTTTATTTTGGTAGGACGCCATCCTTAAGCCTGCCGGAGCCCTCCTGGGTATTTCTGAATTGTGTTGTGTACATGTGTGCTTGACAGCTTCTCTTAGAGCACTTTGCCTGTTATGTCAGACAGAATTCCAGTAAAGTATCCTTTCCCACATTCCCTGCCAGCAAATCCAGTAAGATCTGAGTTCGGCAAACACCTGATTTGAAAATCTGGAAAGAAGTCCTAAAAGAAAACTTACTTTCTGACCTGCGGGCTTCATCACACTAGTTCCCATGTCACACAGCTGGCCTTTCTGTGCTGTGGCCCCCAGAAGAGCAGGCCATTGAAGGCCCGCATGCTCACTCCTCCTGGCATGGGCCTCCTTCAGACTGTACTGCATCATAGTGTAACTGGCTCTGGTCCAGCAAGTCCCTCAGACCCTTCTTACTAGTCATCCCTGCTCCTCAGTGCTGCTGCCTGTGCTGCGTGGCCTCTGAGTGGGGTGCAGTGGAGGGGGGGGAGCAGGCAGGAGGCGGAGGGTGAGGCTTAAGGCACTTCCTCTTCATCTAATGGCAGGTTGGCTCCCCGGCACTCTCCAGAGTAGGTGACCCGACACATCCTGGCTCCTTGTTCAGACAGCTCGCCGGCGAGGAAGACGACTCACCTGCACCTTCCTTATTCAAGCTAGCCTGGCTCTCTAGTATGACAAAGTAGCATGGAAATAATGCCCCGGCTCTATTATTAAATACTAATGCACCATTTTCACTGGAGGTGCCTCTGTTGTGTTCCTACACCATCCGTCTTTCTGATTCTGACGACAGAATGTAGCAGGGCAGGGGTGCATGAGTTAAGTCCTCACCCTTCAGCTCTGGGGCACTAGTGCTTCGTCAGCACTGACCACTGCCTTGGTTATGGGCACTGCAAGGGTTAGCGGTTAAGCTGTTAATACGCAAGTTTGTAAGATAGTTACTAGATAATTCTTAGAGAACTGCAGTGTTCTCTGTAGCGTCTGAGGGAAGAAAACAGATACGGAAGTGACATTCTCCCTGGAAATACAAATGTGTAACAGACCACAACTAGGGTAGGTGCTTGGCCTCAAGGTCCTCAGAGTGGGTGACCGTTGCACTCCAGGGAGCACTTTCACGGACATCTACATGCTAAGAGGTAGTATGGCAGTTAACATCAGTGCAAGACTGAGTCAAGCTTCCTATATTTGGGGAGAAAACTTATGATTTTGTTTTTCATGGAAACTAGATAGTCTTTACTAGTTTATTGAGTTAAAAAATTGAAGATCCCACATTTTAAGAGACTCTTATATACAGTACAAGTCTAAATGACAGATGTGGAAATCAGAGATGTCCTCAGACACTGCCATGACATGGACTTGATGCCCTCTCTCAAAAGAATCCTATAAAAAATTGCTCCCAAGCCCCTCTGAAATCACAATAGTGCAGCAAAACCCCAGGTAAACAGGTGCCTGATGACCCAATACTCAAATATAGACTGAAAGCCAACAGGCATTTTTTTTTCTGTGTGCAACTTTTAAAAACAAATCATTAAGTTGAAATATCCAATCTGCACAGTGCTGTCCCTTCACAGAAGGCAAGAAACTGCCGGAGCATCATGTCAGAGGCCGACCTCGGTGCTGTAGGCTGTGGAAGTGGGCCTCCTTCAGGGTCTGATTGATATGGAAGTAAGGGCCTTGGCACAGTGCAGACTGCTCGGGCACCGGCTGGGGGGTGCTGGGGCAGGATCCGGGGATGAGCTGGTTCAAGCTGCTCTCTGGTCCACTGGCCCTGTCCGGGCTGTTGATGCTGCTGTTGCTGCTCCCACCACTGTCACTGCTCGAAGACTGGAAGAAAAAGAAAAGGTCAGAGTCATGTGAGCCAGTCTTCCTGCAATAAAGCTTTATTCAGGCTTCAATGAGATAGCCTATTAAGAGTCTTCTTTGTAATGGCTACAGAAAATCCTACTGTGAGCTGGGTTATGGTGGTGCACACCTTTAATCCCAGCACTCGGGAGGCAGGGCAGCTGGGTGTCTCTGAGCTTGAGGCCAGCCTGGTCTCCAGTGTGAGTTCAGGACAGCCAGGGTTACACAAAGAAACCCTGTCTCAAAAAAGAAAAAAAAAAACAAAAACAAGAAAAGGGCAACAATCAACACAAATGTGCAAGTGCTCTATGGTGGGATGCCAGGAGTGACACTCTAGCTCACAAAAAGATGACACTAAATTATCCCAGACGTTATGTGGACAGTAGGTATAGCTCATGGAATTAGAAAGGGAACATGAGAAGGGAAAAGATTCTAAGGGTAGACAGTGAATAGAACACGAGACATGAAACTGGGAAGGGACTCCTGGGGTGATACAGTATAAGCCAGGAGGAGAGAGGAGAACAACCCCCCAAAGGTATGTACTGAAATGCCACAAAGAAACCGCTAGTCCATGAACGCACACTGCCCTGTCAGACAGTGCTGGGTCTAAGCAAGCGCGGACCCTGACTGCAGTAACCCTCCGCCGGCATCTTAGTTTTTCACTTCTCCGCTTGAACCCTCATCCACCACTGCCAGTAACCAAGGGGCTTCCTTCGTTCTCAGCTTCAAGCAGCATCAGCTACTGGTACAAGGGCAGAAAAGGCACGTCCTGTCCACAGAATAAACCGACAACGTGCACACAAGATAATGTCCTATAACCACTTAGGACACAAAATACACTTACAAATTAGCCTGTCCATCTTGCTGCCAACGCACGGTGTATGCCCAGCTGAATATGTGCCCTGTGAAAACAAAGCTTGAGTACAGGCAGTCACAGCCTCCTAACTGCTGGCAGTGCGGTGCAGCCAGAAGGGCACTGTCCGGAACACAAATTCTGGAGTCACTTGTGGGCTTCAGTTGTTCTCAGGCCACCTGCTATGCAAACAGCTGACATGACACTTGGTAAATATTTACCAAGCTCAACTGGGGAAAATGTTGGTAATGCATCCACAGATAACCAGAGTCCACAGCTACTGCTGGGAGAGAAATGCAGTGGTGCATGCTGGGTAAGCATGGGAGAGGCTCCTAACAGTGCCTCCACTGGTCCATGAGGGAAACTCTGGAGGAGATGGTGAGAAGACCAGTAATAAGCCCAGCCTGGGCCATCTGGGCTCTAAGACTCTAAAAGAGCAAACAAAAATGAGCAGACAGACAGAAATCAAGCTTACAAGGATGGAAACCTCCCTGACAGCAAGCTCTCACACCCATGAAGGATGCTATCTACGCAGGCTGCAGAGGGAGCTCTCACTGAGTCTTACTTAGCTGTGGAGCCTCAGTGTTACAGTTACTGACCAGCCAAACAGGAAGTACACGCTACTGCCAATGGCACTGCATCAGCAATTGGTTAACCAACCTTCGGGGTTGTATTTGAGACCTATTCCAAGGGAAGGATTCAACAGGTACCATCAACCAAATGATGGAGGCTAAGGAGGTCCTAGGCCTCAGCAGGGAAGCTAAATGGACGTGATATGCCCATCAAACTGCATCTAAATCATGCTGTCCCCACCTACAGATTAGCGCTACACGAGTCTGCAAGTGGTCAGGGAACACTCACCCACATGGGACTTCACATCTCCTCCCTGACATCAAAGGTTGGAAAGGAGGGTGGAGGAGCCAGAGGAAGGACTGGAGTGAGGAACGCATGTGCAGTTTTGATCTCACAGGAGCAGGGTTTACTGGCCAAGACCTGTGCAAGCCCAGCCCTGCGTAGGCTGGTGAGATGGTTCAGGGGTAAAGATTATTACCATGCCTAACAACCTGAGAAAACCAGCCTCCACAAGTTGTTCACTGCTCTGTGTAAGCATAACATGAAATAAATAAATGTAATGGGTCTGCCATTACGCCCAGGATCTGTCTGCAGACAATGGTAGCTGTGGTGGGAAGGGCTCACAAACCTTCACCCCCCACCCCAGTTATCTATAGATAGCTAATGGCTGCAGGGAAAGGCTCCAACATATTCTCTATGGAGAATCCATTGCAAGCCTACACTCCTGTAATAACTTCACACAATCCTGCAAGCAACCATAATGAAACTCAGCGGGTCATCAAAAGTAGTACACCAAAAAAATAAATGAAGACAGGACAGTAGAAGAGGTCCTGGATGGGAAGGGTACAGAAAGGGGAAAGGAGGAGTCAGTATGCTAAAATACCTTGCATGTATGCATGAGATTGCCATCATGAAACCTATTATGTATAGTTAACGTATGCTAACTAAAATAATCAGAACCAGAGTGTGTGCCTGTGCGTTTACCACCTAGAACCACATGCTGCCTTTCTATTTTAGGAGGGAGGGAAAGAGATCATATAGTTTTTTGTTTTGGTTTGGTTTTTGTTTTGAGACAGGGTCTCACTATGCATGTAGCTCTGGCTGTCTTGGAACTCACTATAGACCAGGCTGGCCTCACAGAGATCTCTGCCTCCTGAGTGCTGCAACTCGAGTGTCAGTGACACTTCTGCTGCTGTCTAGAAAAACACTTTGATCTCTCAGGCCCTAGTTTCTCTTCACCCATCCCCACATTCACCGATGCTCTCAATTTACATGAACCTACAAAGAAAAAACTCATGTTCCATGTGATGGCACACTCCTATAATCCCACTTAAGATAGAGGCAGGAAGATCAGGAATCTAAGGCCAGCCTTGGCTACAAGACTCCATCTCAAAAGAAAAAGATAATTTTCAAAGTTCATTTGCCACAGTATTATAAACAAACAACCCTAAATCCTCACACATAAGAGTTAGTGAAAACAATTCTGTGTTTTGGCAATAGCTACTACCCCAAAAAAGATCCAAGATGGAAAAAAAATTAAGAGCTTTAGCTGGGCTTGCAACCACAACAGCTCTTGGGAGGTGGAGGCAGAGTCACAAAAAATAAGTTCAACGCTAGGCTGAGCTACACAGTGAGTTCCAGGCCAGCATGGGTCATCCTGTCTTAGAAAGCAAAACATGACCAGTGAGATGATTCCTACCTGCTGGAGAGAACCAACACCCACAGTTGTCCAGTGATTTACACACGCGCGCGCGCACACACACACACACACACACACACACACACACACACACCATATATATACATATACTAAGTAAATGTAATAGTAATTAGTAAATGTAATAGTAAATTAGACAATCTAATTTTAAAGCAAAATTAAAAATGACCACTTTAATATTAAACATATCTAAAATTATGCCCAACTTGGAGCTGGAGGAATGCCTCAGCAGTTAGGAGCACTGGCTGCTCTAGCAGAGGACCTGGGTTCAGTTCCAAGTACCCCCATGGTAGCTTGCAACCTTCCATAACTCTTGTTCCAGGGAAACCTATACCCTCTTTTGACCTCCACAGGCACACAGTGCAGATGTACACGTAAGCAAAAACATTCCTACACATAAAATGAAAATTAAAAAAAAAAATCCTTTTAAAAGATTATGTTAGACAGGCAGTGGTGACGTACACTTTTTATTCCAGAACTCCAGGCAGAGGCAGGAGGATCTCTGAGTTCAAGGCCAATCTGTTCTAGAGAGCGAGTTCCAGGACAGCTAGGACTACAGAGTAAACCCTGTCTTGAGAAAGAAAAAAAAGGGATTATGCTAAACTGGGCTAGGGATGTAGCTTAGCAGTATAGCACTTGGCCTGGAGTATACAGGGCTCTAGGTATGTAAATAAATGAATAAATAAATGTTATGTGCATTCCCATGACACCCAACAGCTAGTTCTCACTTACAGCAGTGGATTTAGTCCTGACTTTGAAACACTGTGGACCCCTCCCCCCCCTGTTCCTGTTATTTTGGGCATACCTTTATACTCTCACTAAAAACTCTTAGGACTGCAGTATTAGCATCAGAGTTCCTCTCTTCCTGTAAAGACAAGGAGGCACATCCTCGCTGCTTTAGCTCACTGTAGCATCCCAACTTTTCAGCCCATTCCCCATTCCCTCACAGTAATGGGAAGCGCTGGGGAGGGCACTTTGCACTCTAGGAAGGTGCCACTTTCATTTATTCAACTAGATCCTGTTTCTAAGGCACACACCTGAGTACCAGGGAGGTCTGCACGGCAGCCTTTAGTGTAACTATAGACACTAAAGCTATGCTGGAAGAGCATCACTCCTACATGTGCACAACTACAACCCAAGCCAGCAAGAAGAGCCCCTGTGAGTCTAACTGGCTTCTTTCTCAAGTTTTTGTCTGTTTTTTTTTTTCCGAGACTGGGATTTACACTATACCCAGACTGGCCACAGAGCCCTGTGGCTGCTCTCAAATTAAAGGTGATCTTCCTAACTCAGCCTCTCAAGGGCTGGGATTACAGACATAAGCCACTCCACCTGCCTAATCTAGCCCATTTTTACCTGCCTCAGTAAGTGCTTAAGAATACTGAGCTAAGCCAGGCGTTGGTGGTGCACGCCTTTAATCCCAGCACTTGGGAGGCAGAGGCAGGCGGATCTCTGTGAGTTCGAGGCCAGCCTGGTTTACAAGAGCTAGTTCCAGGACAGCCTCCAAAGCCACAGAGAAATCCTGTCTGGAAACCCCTTCCCCCCCCCCAAAAAAAGAAAAGAAAACAAAAGAAGAAATACAGGCTCAGTGTGCCAGCACGTAACACCCCGGCACTAAGGGAGAGGACAGTCACAAACTTGAGACCAACCATGCTTGAGTCCCAGACTAGCCAGGACTACTCATCAAAACTCTGCCTCACAATGAGACACTAAGCATCAGGGTGGGAACAACCAGTCAGGGTGGGTGAGATGCTCTCTGAAAAAGAAACTCCTTTCAATTAGGCAATGGAGCCAGGGTTATGTAGATGAGCCTGCGGCCATTCTGCCTACCTCTGTGTCCCAGGAGTCCTGGAAGATGGGATTCCTACTGCTCCTTTTGGTCTGGGGTGGGAGATGGCTATCATCATCATTTCTTCTCCTTTTCCTGAAATTAAACACAAAGAGGAAAAATAACCAGTTGCGGAGCTTACAGACTCTTCAATTATAAACCCCAACAACACGCAAAAATTTACCCTTGGTGGGCTAGAGATGGCTGAGAGGTTAAGAATGCTGTTCTTCCAGGGGACCAATGTTCAATTCCCAGCTCCAAGGGATCTGATACCCTCACACAAACATACATGTAGCCAAAACACCATTGCATACACACAAGATAAAAATAATTTACATATGAAAAACATCTACCCTTTAGCCTAAAATAATTAATCCACCATGACATCCCAGTGGGAAGAATTATAATATTCCAGCACTGGGCACTAGCTAAGCAGAGACAGCTAGTAAGGCCAAGCCTTAAGGGAAGGCTAGTTCCCAAACGCCTGCTGGGACCAGAGTAACAGGAGGAGGGTAACGAAGAAGCTTCCCAACTCAGTTTCCTCTTGCCACATCCCCTGAAATTGTAATTCCAAACCCCCCACTCTACTCCCTGCCCCACAGGGCACTGAAGTGGTACCACTGACTGCCTCTTTGCCCTGAAATACACACAAGATGGAGCCACACAGGAACACATAGGCTGGTGAGAGGTTCTGATGCCCTGCTTTTGGGGGGGAGGGGTGGCCATTACTTTTCTAATCTAAGTCATCACTGAAAATGCTTGGGCTGTCACTGTTATCACGGCACTGGGTTGTCACTCAATGACAGAATATGCTGGTTAAAACAGTGAGGATAACGGGAAATGGATCACACCTTTCTCCACCAAGTGCTCTCAGTATAAAACAGTGTATGTTTATCTACAAGAATTAGGGGCAAGGCTGGGTGGTGGTGACTCACGCCTTTAATCCCAGCCCTCGGGAGGCAGAGGCAGGCAGATCTCTGTGAGTTCAAGGCCAGCCTAGTCTACAGAGCAAGTTCTAGGACAGCCTCCAAAGCCACAGAGAAACCCTGTCTCGAGAGAAAAAGAATTAGGGGCTATCAGAAGGATTTTAATCTCACACTAGAAAACAGGAATACATTAAAAGAATACCTCTAAGACCAACTGCCTGGAATAACCTGTGCAATACGGCACCCACTTATAACGTGGCCTCACATGTAAATAAACCGAAACTTAAAATCCACGTGATGGCTTCTACTTCTAATCCCAGAACTCACGAAGCAAAGGCAGGGGATCAGTGCAAGTTCTGTACAGTGAGTTCCAGGCCAGCAACACAAGACTGGCTCAAAAAAAGCAAAATTAATTAATTTAAAAATAAAAAATCCAGCTGGGCAGTGGTGTCACACACCTTGAATACCAGAGCTTGGGAGGCAGAGGCAGGCAGATCTCTGTGAATTCCAGGATAGCCTGGTCTACACAGAGAAACCCTGTCTTGAAAAAGTCAAAAATAAACAATTAAATAAATAAATATAAAAGGTCTAGTTACTGCCAGACAGTGGCTATGCCTATAATGCCAGCAAGCAGGGACTGAGGCAGGAGAATCACTTAACATTTGAGGCCAGCCTGGGCTACACTGAGTTTCAGACCACCCTAGTAGCAGCATAAGACCTTATCTCTTCACACTGAGCAGAAAGTCTCTTCACTACTGGAGTCACTATGTGTGGCTTTGGCTCAGCACACAGTGCCAAGCTCATCTCACTACCAGTATGCAGAGACAGAGAACACAAATGCACAAGCTGTGCCCAGCCCTGAGACCAACTCTGACCAGCCAGCACCTCCTTCAGGTTACTTCACACAGCTATCTCAGACCCAGGCAAACTGCTCAACTATGACCAAGTACTCTCTAGGCCACTCAGGATGCCAGGCCTCACCCATCCCAAGATCTGCCTCATGGTAGCCCCTAGCGGCTCCTAGACCAGCCCTCAGTACTGAAGGCTTCAGCCAGCTTCCTCACAGGCTGAGTCATATCAACCTGATGCGCTACCAGCACACTCACAAGGGGCTGGCTGGCTGCAGTCCTGCAGCTACTGCTGTCGTAGTCACTCCGTCTTCACCATGCCCAGCATAAATAGACTGTGGGAGGCCACAATCCCCAGTAGCTTCATGAACAACCACAATTACCACACAGAAGCCTGATGTTCAAGTACAGGGTCCTCTAACTGTTTCCATGAGGCACTAAGCCTCTTGACAGCAAAAGCAAATGCCGGGTGAAGGACTGTTCTCTCTCACTGGAGCAATGCAGCCCATTCATGGTACTGAGCATGCTGGAGACTGGAACCCAGCTACTTCCTATGCCCAAGTCCCCAGCTCTCTGCTCTAGGGCTGATGGAGCCAGCCTGGTTTACAGAGTGATTTCAAGGACAGCCAGTGCTACACAGTGAAACCCCAGAAATAAATACAAAAAACAACAACAAAAGAGTAAAACTGATCAGAGACCACAGAAAGGAACTCCTGCTTCACTGAAGAAAAATGACTATTGTAAATTTATTATGGAAAATGTTACAAATTATAAATTTTAAAAGGATTTTTTTTTAAGAGACAGAGTTTTACTGCATAGCTCTAGCTGTCCTGGAACTCACTCTATAGTTCAGGTTGGCCTTGAACTCAGAGATCCACCTGCCTCTGCCTCCCAAATGCTGGGACTAAAGGCATGCGCCACCACTGTCGCCCAGCCAACTTTTTTTTGGGGGGGGGGGTTCAAGAGAGGGTTTCTCTGTGGCTTTGGAGGCTATCCTGGAACTAGCTCTTGTAGACCAGGCTGGTCTCGAACTCACAGAGATCCGCCTGCCTCTGCCTCCTGAGTGCTGGGATTAAAGGTGTGTACCACAACCGCCCGGCAGCCAGCTTTTTTTTCTTAAAGACAGAATCTCACTATGTAGCCCCTCTGGCTGTCCTCTAAGTCACAAACCCACTGCCTCTGCTTCCCAAGAGCTGGGTTTAATTAAAGGTGGGCATTACCATGCCCAGCATGAAAGGACATTTTGAACCTTATATGCCAGGGAAAAAATGTCTTGTCTAGTGAACAACCAGTCCTAAATTATTTTACTTAAAAATATAAAGCAACTCATAAAATACAAAAACAAATGACTGTTTTTAGACCCTAGGAAAAAGAAGTCTCAACAAAGAACAAAACGTCAAAGATTCTGTAGGTCTGCAGATCTTTTCTGCAGAACGTCATCAGCTGTTCGGTTAACCTTTTTAAGATTTATTTATGAGTGTTTCGCCTACATGTATGTGCACACATGTACCTGATGTCCATGGCTGTCAGAAGAGGGCACTGGATGCCCTGGAGCTGGAGTTACAGATAATCACCATGTTGGTGCTAGGAATTGAACCAAGGACCTCTGTAAAAGCAGTAACTTAACTGCTGGGCCATTTCTCTAGCCCTCAACTTTGGTTAAGTAACTGAATTGGTAACTTTGAGTGAGGAAAAAAATTATCAAATTTTTCTTTAATAAAAACTCTTTAAACAGTAAAACATAGTTCTACTTGACAGCACTGACCAAGTTCTGTATGTCCAAAGGGCAGCATCAGTAGCAATGAAAATGCTCCCAAGGTCAAGAGGCAAAAGGCAGCAGTGCAGGCCTGATGGGGCACTCTACCAGGCAGAGGCAAGAGGACCTCTTTGAGCTTGAGGCCAGTCTGGCTCTACAGAGAGTTCTAGGACAGCCAGGACTATACAAAGAGACTGTCACAAAGAAACAAAAATGAAAAGCAAAAAAAGAACAGACAAAAGGCTAGAGAGGGGGCTGGAGAAATGGCTTAAGAGCACTGCCTGCTCTTCCACAGGTCTTGAGTTCAATTCGGTGCCCTCTTCTGGTCTGCAGGCATACATAATAAATAAATAAACCTTTTTTTTTTTTCTTTAAAGGGCTAGGGAATTTCTTTAAGTATCTACACTGGGAAATGGTCTCATGTGCAATTAGGGGCTCTCTGTATGCAGCACATGGCTTTGAGTAGAAGCCAAAATCACCACTCTGGCTCAGGAGCCTGTATTTAACTTTTTTTTCTTTCCTTTTCTTTTTTGGGTCAGAAGTTTCCCTGTGTAGTCCTGGCTGTCCTAGAACTCACTGAAGACCAGGCAGGCCTCAAACTCAGAGATCTGCCTGCCTTTTCTTCCCCAGTACTGGAATTAAAGGTCTGTGCCACCACTACCCAGCTATCCAACTTAAGAATGAGTTTATACTCTACACCCTGAATTAGGCTTGGAGTACTGAGAACATGGCTTTTGTTTGGGCTTTTGTTGTTGCTATTTATTGTGTATACAAGGCACAAGAGAAGCAAAAAAAGACTGTGATTGGTTCTCTCCTGCTTACCAGACAGGTAGTGCAGCAAGTACCTTTATCTCTCGGTGCCATCTGAATGACCCACTGTTTTTTGAAGCAGGCTTTCACTAGTGTAGGCTGCCCTCAAATTCAAGCCTCTATCTAGGTAATGGGACTACATGTGTGGGCCACTGGACCTGACCTTTTTTTCTTTCTGTGAATGAGTGTTTTCCCTGCATGTATATATGCCTATGTGCCATAAGCATGCCGGAAGAAGGCATCACATCCCCTGGAACTGGAGTTAGAGATGGTTGTGAGCTGCCACATGGTCCTCTACAAGAGCATCAAGTGCTTTGTTTTTATCTTTATTTTAAATTAGAAGCAAGCTTGCTTCACATGTCAATCCCAGCTCCACCCACCCCCACACTGAGCCATCTCTCCAGTCCCAGGGAGGACTCTTTAAAACTGTTTTTTGGGGGGTTTACAAATCCTCCCATGGGTGTGTGTGTGTGTGTGTGTGTGTGTGTGTGTGTGTGTGTGTAAGAAAGAAAGAGAATGTAAGGCACAGGACTAGCCAATGAGTTAAGGAGGAAATAGGCCCTTTTATGGTTTATTTATTTTTATTTTAGGTGCATTGGTGCTTTGCCTGCATGTATGTCTGTGTGAGTGTCAGATCCCCTGTAACTGGAGTTACAGATAGGCCTAGGAATTCTGACCAACCTGAAGACTGCATGATTTATCTCCTCCATCAATAACGTAAGATCCTCTTTCTACTTCTTACCCTTCTCCCAGAAGACTGGCTAGCACTTACACATTCTTGGACAACTTGAGAATTACAAAAAGACAAATAGCAGGTTTTTATTTTGGTATAGTATTTTTGAGAGGAGGGGTCTTGTTTTCTCTGTGGTGCTTGGATTGAAACCAAGGCCTTGTATGTGCTAGGTCTTAAGGACTCTCTGAGCTACACCTTAGACACAACCAAGTTTGTTTGTTGTTGTTGGTTTTTTTCGAGACAGGGTTTCTCTGTATTATTTTGGAGCCTGTCCTGGAACTCACAGAGATTCGCCTGCCTCTGCCTCCTAAGTGCTGGGATTAAAAGCATGTGCCACCAATGCCCAACAACACAACCAAGTTTTAATAACCATTAAATGGGCACACTATTATAAATCTAACCAGCACACACCTCTGTGAATCTGAGTCCAGTCTACTCTACAACAAAGGCAGCCAGAACTATGGTGAAGCCGTCTCAAAAAATAACAAACAAATCAGTATGCAAATTTGAACCAAGAAGCTCCTGCTTTCATCCCAATATGGCACTCTACACGCAGATGTGCAGCATCGGTAGAGCAATGTCTGCTGGAATCAGGCAACACTCCAAGAAACACTCAGAGGCCGTAAGAAGACTGGCCCCTTAACTTTTATTTTATCAGCATGCCAACAGCTGGTTATGCTTGGGGCTGCTGAGTCACTCCCACCAAACTTTATGAGCCTGAACAAAACTGGCCGTCCTCATCTGTAACAGGGAATGTTTCCTCCCCGTAACAAGAATAGCAAGGGGCTGCTCCGTAGTTCGCATCTACCTCTGGGAAAGCCACATGAGATATGTCAGTTTCTCGAGGTACAAGTGCCATCTCTTGGACCTGTGAGATGTGCGCCCCTGTGGGTGGTAATGAGTTAAGAATGAGCTCTATGCAGTCTCCATCTTTGTTGTTCTGGCTTGTATTAGATCACCTGCTAGCAGCACTAAGCTTCCAATAGCCTTATTAATAAGGGACAAGCCCACTGGTCTACAATCGGTCCCACCGTCGTTTTGTTTTTCCAGGCACCCTGTAACTGATTAGATTCTCTCCTTTCCACCTAGGCAAAAATAATTGCTGGATATCTAATTACGCCCAAGGACGGCTGACTCCATCACTCTCCTTATTTCACTTCTGTCCTATCTTCCTCGTTCTCTTCAGGAACCTGAGCAGATGTAATCACAGAGTACAGAAACTGCTTCTCAAACGGTTCTGTTTATTTGTCTGTTTGTTTAGAGACAAGGTCTCTCTGTTTAGCCTGCTGGCCTGGAACTTGGTAAGTAGAGCATGTCTGCCTCCTGAATGCTGGGATTAAAGACAAGCGCTACCATGCCCATGTCAAACGTTTCTTTAAAAGTAAATGAACCCCTGTTTCTTTCTGTAAGGTGTCTCTTCCCCAAGTCATATGTAAAAATTAGGGATCTGTGGTAAGGCAGGCTTCCTTGCTACCCATCCTTCTACAACCTTCAGAGTTTACTGTCAAAGTCTGAGCTCAACCCTTCATCTAGTAACTAAGGAGACAGATTCAGAGACAGGAACTAACTTGGAGACGGACACTGGAGGGGGCCAAGCTAGCTCATGGGTTAAGAGCAAAGCAGGCAAAAAAGGTTTGGCTTCACCAAATGGCTTATTTTAAAGACGTCACCAGAAGACGGAAACACATTAAGATCCCTTTGAGTAAATTAGAGAAAAAGAATCTACAATCAGTACAAACTCAGATTCCTAGCCTACAGCACTAGAAAAAAGAATCTGTTGGCAGAAAATACTGGGGGATGTCAGATAAGGGAGACATTCCAAGAGAACCCAAAAGACGACAGTCAACTCAGGCTTACTGTATCTGAAGGCCCCACTCCTAAAGGTGTGACTATAAATGGATCATAATTTCAACTTGGTATAAATTATCTTTCAATGATCTTCAATAATTGGCAAGATCAAGACTCCATATATGTTCAGTCAGTAAGATTAAATCTTTTGGTACTTCATCAGTGCCACAGACCAAATTATAATTTTGACAGGCACATTATAATTTCCAATTTTCGGATCTCTGTGAGTTCGAGGCTAGGCTGGACCGATAGCCTCCAAAACAATACAGAGAAACCCTGCCTCGTAAAAACCAAAAAAAATAAAAATAAAAATATAATTTCCAATTTTTTGTTTTGTTTTTCGAGACAGGGTTTCTCTGTGGCTGTCCAGGAACTCACTCTTGTAGACCAGGCTGCCTCCTGAGTGCTGGGACTAAAGGTGTGGGCCTCCACCGCCCGCCGCCATCATTTCCAATTTAGTTTGATCATCTTGTCCACACAAGTACATGCTTTCTGTCACAATTACTACATAAACAAAATCAGCAATTCCTTTTCAACACTGGACCAAATAATCTCAGCATGTTGGTGGGCCTCGAACCCAAGAAGTAACTATATCAAGGATAAGCCTTTAAAAAAAAAGTGATTACATCCACAATCAGCGAATACAAAGAGTAAGATACAGGGGTAGAGAAGACGGCTCAAGATTGAGAAAACTTGTTGCCATTGCAGGGTACTGGGGACTGGTTCTCAGCATCCACACGATGGATGACATCCATCTGTAACTCTAGTTCCAGGAGACTCGATACCCTCCTCTGGCTCTCACGGACACGCCCACGGTGTACATGCATACATATACGCAAACAATCGCTCAAATACATAAATGTCTCTGACGTACATACACACAAATATACATAAAAAATCAAGGGAAAATAAAAAGGCAACCCTAAGATCCGCCTGGAAGCCTCAAACCACTATGGGATAAAGAGACGTGAACCTGGATAAGACTTCAACGAGCCTTGAGTCTGTTCTTCATCAGAAAAACAGAAAGGAAAAAAAAAGTGCAGGTTAGTGATGTACAGGTCGTCCAGCTCCGTAGCTGGGAGACTTTCTAGTACGAAATAAAGCAGGTCCTCTTCGTTCTGAGGCCGAGCATCCCTACTTAAACTTCTTCCCACCTTCTTGAAAGACGAGAATAATAAGGAGGGAAAAAGAAACCTCATCTGCACGGGGCCTACAGCTCTCAGAGGCCGCCTGGGGCCTGAGGCCGGGCTCAGGGGAGAGGCTAACGAGCATAACTCGCAATGCTTTCCATCCACCTCCGGCCTCGAAGCCAAACGGCTCCTCCTCCAAACAGTTTAGAATCCTGCCTGTTATAATGCCACAGCCGAGAGCTGGGTCACAACCCGCCCGGGCCCAGCTGCCCCTCTGATGAGGGCTGCCGCGCTGCGCTCTGCCCTAAAGCCCTCCCCAGCTGCAGGGTGAAAGCCCAACCCCCCCCCTCCGCCTTTCCCCTGACCTTGGGGCGCCTGCAGCTCCCCGCCCCGCCGCGTCCCGGCCCCCTCCGAGGCGCCTTCTTGAGGGGCTGCCTCTTCCAGCTCGGCTGGCTATTCCTCCCATCCCCCACCGGCGCCGCCACCACCACCACCCGCCTGAACCGCGCGTCTCCTAGGACCGAACAAACCTCATTCCTAAGTGGAAAGGGCAGAAGCCGCGGCAACCCCGAGAAAGGACGTTGGAGGAGCCCAGACCCGGACTCCAGAGAGCCACCTCTCTCTCCCCGGCTGCTACCCCCGACAGGGTCCGGGTGTCTGTCAAGAGGCGACGTAACCTTCTGCCCGCCTCCTCCCGACCGCAGAGCGACGCAGACGGAGCCTCGCACCACCCCCGGCTTCGTGCGCCCCTCTCGGCCTCCACGGCGCAGGTCCTCGGCCGAGGGGCCCGCAGAGAGAGACGGGGGGGGGGGGGCGGGGGTGTCCCTTCGCTCACCTGGGGCGGAGGCGCTCGCTCATGGCAGCTGGTGAAGGCGAGCGACGCGGCGCCGCCCCGCGCCGACAGCGAACAGACGGAGCTGGGTTCCGACGACCGCCACGCCCACCCCCGCGGGCCTTGGCTCTGGCCGCCGCCGCCGCCGCTGCCGCGCGGGTGGAGGCTGCGGGCGGAGAGCACCCCTCCGGCCGACCCGTACCACCGCCACTTCCGGCGTCCCCTCCGCGCCCCCCCATGTCGCAGGCGCCGTGGTAGCGTCTCCCCGCGGCTGCGCAGTGGCGGGACGCCGGCCGCGCTTACCCAGAGCCCCGCCCACGGGAAGAGGCGCGTCCGGAGAGGGCAAACAGACCGGGCACTTCCAGGGCCCCATGTAGGTGTCCGAGACGTCCGCCTGCCCAAAAGGCAAACCGGGACGAGCTGTAAACGTCGAGCCGGAGTTGAATAAACTAAGCTATTTGGGCCCTGACTGGTCCTTGTGTCCGCGCTAAAGCTCTGTGAGGTGGGGATTCAAAAGAAAGGGCTGGGCGAGCTCCGCCAGGCACTGACGCGGGCGGCCACGGGTTCTGGGTTCCGAGGTTGGAAGGCCGCCGGTGAGCCCCGAGTTCGAAGGGAGCGCCGCGTGGAACTTGGCATCTCGAGCGGTGCGGAGCCGGGTCGGTGGCGTATCCAAGGGCTGGGCTTGGTGCCCACGACGTCTGCTGTAGGTCGAGAGAGGAGGAGGAGGAGCGCGGACCAGGCGAATGGACTAGCGGAGGAGTCCCAGCCCCGACCGGTAGCGGCCCCGCCCACCTGCTGGAAGAGGCCGGGCAGAAAGAAAGGTGTGGGCGGGCGTGGGGAAGCGGCGGTGAGCGCGGAGCGGGCTCGTGGCGAGACGAGCGTGGTCAGAGGCAATCACGAGGTCCCAAGCCGGGCGTGCGTGGCGGGCACCTGTCATCCCAGCCTTTGGGAGGTGGAGGCTGGAAGATCAGAAGGGTCAAAGTCATCCCCGACTATGAAACGAGTTCGAAGCCTGCCTGGGCTCCTTGGGACCCGGTCTCGGATTAAAGTTTTTCCATTTTACTTCTTCGAATAAGTGCGCTCCGGGTTTTCAGAAGCATCCCCAGTTGTCTGCCAGGGGCATAATTCAATTATTTGTATAGGATTCCGTACTCGGTCTCATCGTACATCAGCTCTTCCACTAAGTTCCGATCGTTACAGAAGTTGACGTTCAAGGTTTCTGCCAGACACAGTGATCCACAAACATGAGGGTCTTGGAGAGACGACGGCAAGAAGTCGGGCAGGAAAACGGGTCCCTTGTTAAAATGTAGAGTACAGGGCCAAGTGTAACTAGTCCAAGTCTGTAATCCCAGTTGTTATGATGAAGCATGAGGAGAACCTTATTGGATTCCATGGCCGGCGAGGGTGACCGAGGCGGAGGGACAAACATGCCAGGCAGACAGAGCTTAAGTGAGAAGTTTATTAGGAAGGGAAGGAGCAGGGGTGGAGGGTGGGGGAGTAAAGAGAGAGGACAGAAGAGAGAGACAGGAAAAGCCCTGTGTACCCCAGGGCAACAATAGGAAAGAGAAAGCAGAAAGAGGTCCTAAGTGGGCGGTGGTCTCTCTTTTAAAGGGATCATTTGCACCTGCGCGGAAACCCTAGGCTGACCAGGCTACTGCCTGAGTGCATTCTGCCAGGTGACGGGCAGGCCAGCATAATGCCTGAATTCTTACACCAGGATTTAGGAGGCAGAAGCAAGCTGATCTACGTTAGTTCGAGACCGGTCTGGTCTATCTAGCAAGTTCCAGGGTGGACAAGACTACGTAGTGAGATCCCATCTCAAGAAAATTTGGGAAAAGGTACTGTTACAACTGGAAAGCCCATGGATTGGCTTTGTCATGTGCGTTTTTGCAGACTAATAGTCAATCACTTCTGTTGTCAGTGTGTGGTTTTGCATTTCATGAAGGATAAAGTGCTGGTTGATTTAAAGCATGGATATTTATGTTGCAAATGGTTTCAGAGTCGGGGCTTTTTGTTGTTTTGTTTGGGGGTTTTGTTGTTGTTTTGTTTTGGTTTTTTGAGACAGGGTTTCTTTGTGTAATCCTGGCTGTCCTGGAACTTAACAGGGTAGACCAGGCTGGCCTCAAAACCCCAATCTGCCTGCCCCTGCTTCCCCAGTACTGGGATTAAAGGCATGTACCACCACTGCCGGCTTTTGAAAATATTTTTACATGATAAACATTTATCAAAAATTTCAAACTAAGGGGCTGGAGAGATGGCTCAGAGGTTAAGAGCAATGGCTGCTCTTCCAAAGGTCCTGAGTTCAATTCCCAGAAACCACATGGTGGCTCAAAACCACCTGTAATGAGATTTGGTGTCCTCCTCTGACATGCAGGGATACATTCAGGCAGGACACTGTATACATAATGAATACAATCTTTTAAAAAATGTCAAACCAAGCAATTGATAGTGTACAAATTTGTATGTACACGGTAATCAATTGTATTACAAGTTAAAACTAAAAAATTGGGGTCAGTGGCACTTGAGAGGCAGAGGGAAGCAGATCAGAGGTCAGCCTGGTCTACAGAGCAAGTTCCAGGACAGCCAGAGCTACACAGAGAAGCCCTGTCTCTGTCTCTGGGGAAAAGAAAAGAAAAGAAAGAAAGTGGGGGTCCTGTCCTTCTGGGCATTGTTACGTTTACATATGTATGCATTGCTAATATTAGTATTAGCAGAGATTCATTTCTCCTGAGTGAGAAGAACTGTCCCCCACCATTTTTTTTTCAGGGATCTCATGAATCCCAGGTTAGCGTCAATCTGTCACTAACCAGGGATAGCCTAGTGGTCCTGTCACCACTTCCTAGTGCTGGATTATGGCTGTCTGTCCACTACAGCACCAAGTTTCATGCTGTGCTGGGAATAGAACCCAGGGCTTCATGCTTGCCAGGCAAGCACTCTGCGGACTGAGCCTCGACCCCAGCTGATAAGAGAGTTCTCCTGAGTCTCACCCAGTGAATATTGTTTATGTTACTCTAGAAACTGCTCTAACCAGTTCTTGTGCCCTGCATGAATGCTGTTGTCCTTCCTCACTCCAACCGTGAAGGACAGGTTCCAGAAGAGTGAAATTCCTGTGTGGGAGAGGCTTCAAGGGAAGACTACTCACTTGGTGGTTCCTTTTGGTTTTTTTGTTTGTTTGGTTTTTTGTTTGTTTGGTTTTGGTTTTTTGAGACAAGCTTTCTCTATAGCTTTGGAGTCTGTCCTGGAACTCATTTTGTAGACCAGACTGGCCTCAAACTCACATAGATCCTCCTGTCTCTACCTCCCGAGTGCTGGGATTAAATGCCTGAGCCACCACCACCCGGCATCCTTTTCTCTTTTTACTAAGTACATGTATATGTGCCTGCATGAATTTGTTTATATAAGTTTATTTACACCGTGTGCACACAGTGCCCCAGGAGGTCAGAGGACACCAGATTCCCCTAAAACTAGAGTTACAAACTGTTAGGTCTCAAACCCAGGACAAATGGCTAAGGTGCCTATTTAAAGTGGACCTGTCTGCCAGGTTCTCCCAGCATCCCTCAGTCCCTGCCTGTTCCAGGGTATGGCCGGGATACCCCTTGCCCTACCCTGAACCCTCTAGCTGAGGGGCTGGGCTGCCCTTCTCCCAGATGACCTTCCTGTATAGTCCAGCCATTTTGGTCACCAGGCACTTAAGCTTTACGCTCCTGCTTCTCCTCTCTCCCCACCCCTGGCCCAGCTCAGGGACCTCCCCGCATGTCTCCACCCCTGGTTATGCTCTCCCTTTTATCTACAATAAACTTTCTGTTCACCATACCTAGGAGCAGCCATGTCCTTCCTTTTTATTTTTTCCATTCAGTTATGAGCTGCCTGGTGTGGCTGCTGGGAACAGAACCGGGTCCTCTGCATAGCAGTGCAATAGGTGCTCTTAACTATAAAGGGTCTTTCTTTATATTACCAGCTCCCAAATAATGACACAGAGACTTCTTAGTAATTCTGAAAGCTCAGCCTTAGCTCAGGCTTATTCTCAACTAGCTCTTACATCTTAAATTAACCAGTTTCTAATTTGTGTTCTGCCACATGGCTTGTTATCTCTCTTCAGTACTGTATACCCAACTTTCCCCTTTCTCCACAGGAAATCTCCCACCTCAGATTCATCCCCTCCCCACAGTTCCTCTCTCCCTGGAAGTCCCACCTGCCCTCTGCCCTCTCCTGTCTATCTGTTGGATATTAATCCCTTTTTTGTTTGTTTGTTTTTGTTTTTGTTTTTGTTTTTTTGTTGTTGTTGTTATTGTTTTTCCAGACAGAGTTTCTCTATGGCTTTGGAGGCTGTCCTGGTACTAGCTCTTGTAGACCAGGCTGGTCTCGAACTCACAGAGATCTGCCTGCCTCTGCCTCCTCCTCCTGAGTGCTGGGACTAAAAGCCCAGCTGCTATTCAACTTTTTTATTAAACCAATCAAAAGGTGTCCTAGGCATCTTAGACATCTTCACACAGTGTGATCAAACATCCTGCAACCCTTAACTGCTCTTAAAAACCATAAGTAGCTCCCCTTTTAATGTTTAAGGGTTTTAAACAATTTCATTAAATTCAGGCAACCTTTACTTAACATAAATAACAAAACTGAATTGTGGCTGACATTTTTGTTTGTTTGTTTGTTTGGTTTTTTTTGAGACAGGGTTTCTCTGTATTGTTTTGGAGGCTGTCCTGGGACTCGCTCTGTAGACCAGGCTGGCCTTGAACTCACAGAGACCCTCCTGCCTCTGCCTCCTGAGTGCTGGGGACTAAAGGCATGCAACACCACTGCCCAGCTCTGACTGACATTTTTAAATATCTTTTCCCTTGACTAAGTATTAGTTTATTAGAAAGTTAAAATCCATGCATAAAATGATTACTCTGTATTCTTCATTGTCTCTCCAGAAAGAGGATGGGTGATGCTGGTCCCAGGATGGAGGCGTGTCCTTATTGTAAGAAGCCATTTAAGCGATTAAAATCCCACTTGCCGCACTGTAAGATGATAGGACCACCCACATCTGCTGATCAAAAAGTTTATCAGTCCAAGCCAACAACACTTTCACATGTTAAAAATGAGACGAGGCCGACAAGAGACCTAACCAAAGCTGAAAGGAAAGAGCCAGAGAGTGCAAAAAGAAATCCGAAGTCAGAAAAGGACAGCCCAGAACTGATGGCTGCCACCTTTCCACTGCCGGCAGGTACAACGGAGGCGGAAGGAGAAGCCAAAGATCAAAGTCATTCCTCCTTCCAAGCACTGAGACTCGCCAAGATAAACGTGGTTCTGCAGAGAGGCAAGGCCCCTCAGTCTCGTGCATTGGACGCCACCTCTCCTCAGAGAGAACTTGACAGAGAGGTGACTGGATCCGAGGGAAGTCCACGTCATCCCTCAGAAACCAAAGCATCTGAACTGGTTGGCTCAACGGAACCAGTTTTATCTAATCAAGGTAAAAAATATCCCTCGATTCAACATCATGCTAAACCAGCTTCTTCTGCAAGTCTGAAATTGGATACAGTTGATCCCCAAAGACAGAAGCTTCTGGCAAAATCACTAGAGGTGCCTGTCAGCGATTGTCATTCTCCAAAGAATGACAGCCCCGGGGTCCAGGGAGGAAGACCCTCGCTGTTGATCAGAGAGAGTAGTTCCAGTGATGGAGACCACTCAGGAGTCCCTCTCGACCCTGGTAATGCCGAGACTCTGACAAAGTCCGAATCACTCCTCTTGGGCCTTCACGCCGCTCCACTGGGAAAAGCACAAGTCAGAGAACACCAGGAGCGTGGCCTCGGAATAGAGCTGTGCCAGACCAAGGGAAATCCTGAGAACAACGTGTCAGCCACAGAAGTACCGGAACAGTCTTGCTTGGGCCATGGTGCTAAGGACCCCATGTCATCCCCAAAGGAAAACACACAGGCAGCCCTTGCACTTTTGGACGTATTTGCCCCACCAGAGGGAACTTCTAGTAAGCGGCTCTCTGTACCAGAGTCAGGGTGTCAGCACCTGGCCTCCCTGGCTGTGAAGTCTCCCCCAGAAGACAAAACCCAATTCTATGGCCAGAGTCACGTCCCTGCCATAACTCTATTAGTGGGAAACAAGAGGGATGTTCTGGATCCCACGTCTTTCCGCCAACCCCATGCAGCCCAGACAGGGTACCCCACACCTTCATATTCAGCTCCGTACACCGTGTCTAAAAGCTCCTTTGTCAGTCCTGCTGCTGCTGCTGGTGCTGCTGACTTGGGTGCTGCTCCCAGGCCCGTGGGACTGGAGTGGTTTCCCGAACTTTACCCTGGTTACGTGGGCCTAGGAGTGTTGCCAAGGGGGCCTCAGCATTGGAACTGGGTGGCTCAGATGCCCCCTCCTGCCACTTCCCAGGGTGCAAGTGTCTCGAAAGGTAAGCAGGCTCATTTGCAAGGTCCACCCCGTCCCTCCAGGGTGCCTTTGAAATAGGGGTGAGAATTACTCGTTCTCATTCAGTTAGCATATTTTCACCTGCATAGGCTACCCTGCACTTGACGTAATTGACCAAGGAGAGCTCTCAGTCCAGAGTCGGTTGTAGTTAGTGTATCCTTCTCCCTTCTCCTCCATTGAGAGTTGAGGGTTGCAGTGGGGTCGGCTGCTGATCCTGACAGCTGTTGAGTTTCTTACTGGCAAGAGACCTAAGGGTTAGAAATTCAGTGGGTAAGCCGAGAGCATGGTGGCCCATGCCTTTAACCCCAGGCACTTGGACACAGAGGATTTAGATCGCTGAGTTCAGGGACAGTCAGGGCTACACAGTCTTGAAAAAGAAAAAAAAATCTGATGGGAAAGAGTTCAGTGTCCCTCGGTGGCAGGTAGAAAATAAAGGCCTGTGGGTACAGTGACTGTGTCCTCTGCACTCCGTCCATGGCCACAGTTCAGTTTCTTTGTGTAAGTTCCCCTGACCCTGTACCTGGAGGTGAACTCAGCTTGACCAATTAGAGAAAAACAGAGTCACGGTACCACACTGTTCCCAGCACCACTGAGACCATGGCCCAACAGTGGCAGCTTTCTAGAGGTTATATTTTGTGTTTTGAGTTGAACTACATCTCCAGGCTTTATGATTTGACCTTTGTTTGTTGGTTTGTTATATTCAAGTATGTGTAGATATTGGGGTAAAATGTGCACATGAGTGCAGTGCCTGTGGAGGCCAGAAGGGGGCATCAGATCCCCAGGTGGTTGTGAGCTGATGGACTTGTGCTAGGAGTTGAACCCATAAGCAGTATGCATTCGTTACCACTGCCACCATCTCTCCAGCCCCATGATTTTCTTTTTCTTGTTTGCTTTTAAGAGACTTTGACCTTGCACAAATATGTACTGTGTGATTCCTTGGACACCAACCTTTTTTTTTTTTAATTTCGTTTGTTTGTTTTTCCAGACAGGGTTTCTCTGTGTAGCTTTGGAGCATGTCCTAGAACTCGCTCTTGTAGACCAGGCTAGTCTTGAACTCACAGAGATCCACCTGCCTCTGCCTCCCGAGTGCTGAGACTAAAGGCATGCGCCACCACCGCCCAGCTTGATTTTTTTTTTAATGTGTGTGTTTGGTAATGTCTATGTGTGTGTTAACTAACGCCAAGTTCATGTGCCATGCGCACTACATGTGTGCAGTTTCCCCCCGGAAGCCAAAAGGAGGTGTCCAACCCCCAGGAACCATAGTTCAAAATGGATTTAAGCCACTACGTGGGTGCTGGGAAGCCAAAGCTGTGTCCTCTGCAGGAGGAGCAAGTGCTCTAACCACTGAACCCTCCGTCCCAGCCCCAATGTGTTGTTTCCATTGTTATGTCATACAATCATTGAGCATTTTTATTTCACCACAGCCTGCACCACACAACCCCATCTATCTTAATTTATCCTTTGTCCCGGCAAGCCAAGCCAAGACCAGAAACCCGTGGCAGGTAGAAATCACTGTCTGGCTTGAACACAGAGAAAAAATGTGAAAAGGCAACACGTACCTTCTTTCCTGGTGCTACTCGTTACTTGTGTGTCGGTGTAAAGAGGAAGGTTCAGTCGAGGCATGGGCAGTAGGGTCAGAGAACAGACGCATTTCTAACCTGTGTTGACTGTCCCTAGGCTCAAATCCACAATGACAGCATCTTGAATACCGACATAGGTATCTTCCATCCTGGGGAGGAGATTATCCCAAGCCTAATCCCACGTGGTGGGTCACAGTCAAAATGGGCATGCTTTTAAAGAAAGTCTTCAGAATATGTTGACAGTGTTCATCTGACAGATTCACCAGAAATAGAGATGAATTTGGGGACTGTGGACGCAGCTTGGTGGTAGAGGACATCCTGACACCCATTTTTAGCAGGTGTAAGATCCCGGGCTCAGTTGCCAGTGGGGCAGGGGAGCAGAGAACAGAGAACTTCCGTATTTGGTTCTGGGTATGGGGCCTAAGATAGCTCATTATACATATGTAGATGGCCCACAATTATTTTCAGGCCAAAATCTAAACTCTTTGGTCCACACATTTCTGGGTACTCAGCCTGTAGCAGGAAGTCCTACTTCTTGCTAAAATCTCAGCAGATGATAAAATGTGGCTTGACCAGACACGTTCACACAGAGGGGGTTAGGCGATGCATTTATCACAGTGCAAGGTCTCTGTCAGTAAGAGCTTTGTCCCGGGTCAGATTTCACTTCCGTGTGTAATTTAACTGCAGCCCAATGAGGTGCCCATCGATCCAGCTGTTGGGGTGTGCTTTTCCTAAGGCCCATTAGGACGCGCGGCTGGCTGCGTGGTGGGAAGGGGTGATTCTAGGTTGACTGTCACAGTGACTTCTGTTTGGAACCGTAGTTCCTTGGTGGGGACGAAGTTCGGCTGATAGCAGGAGTTCGGAACCCCTGGCGCTTACAACTTCCAGCGTCCCTCTAATGAGGCTCTTGGGAGCTGCGCACGAAGGTGAGGCCGCTGCTATTGACTGGTGGGTTCTCTTGCTGGCTCCAGGCCTGTGGAGGAGTTTCTCCGCTGTGGGCTGTCATTCTCTGTCTGTTTTCATTTCAGAGTTGGGGGTCACTCAGAACCCCAAAGCTAACAGAGCAGTAGCTCCCATTTATTGTGCAGCTGTCACTTCTTAAAACACACCCCTGCCACCTGTCCCCAACCCTCCCCTCCCCACAGTGATCAGCCCAGGCAATGCTGAACCTCAGCTAACCAGTCGCTTTTGACCTCTGCATCACTCCAGAGGCTAACCCAGCTCCCAGTGTGGGAACACTAGATTCGAATTTACTCAGGCTCTGTGGCTTGGCCTTGTTGTCGTCTATGGAAATGTGTAGACTTTGTCTAGCCCGCACTTTTGTAGGCACAGAGTTCGCTGCCCATAGCGGGGCTGCCTTGAATAGTGTGCACATACTGGGCCACGCCCCGGCCACTAACCACGTGACCCACCTCTCTCTTGCGCAGGCTGGGTGAGGTGCAACACCACCATAAAGAAGAGCGGTGTCGGGGGCCTCACGATGCTCTTTGCTGGCTACTTCATCCTGTGTTGTAACTGGAGCTTCAAGCACCTGAGTAAGCTGACTACTAGTCGCCTCCCTTTGGGCTCCGGGGGTAGGACCCGGCAGCCCTGATGGGTGAGCTGTCGCCGGGGCTCTGGGGCTCCATTAAAGGTCTGCAAGATTTGGCTTAGATTTACATGGCTGCTCTTACTGCCCATTAGTGATGTGGGTGGTGGGCCCGAGGCCTCGGGTTGGCTTGTTTTTCCTGCTTTAAACTCTTCCTTGGTGCTTGCAAACCCCTTTTTCACAGTGGAATAGAAGGGCTTTCTGCCACTTGGAGTAGAAGGTTTAAAGAGTATAAAAACGGATCTGGGGCTAGAGAGGATGGTTCAGTGGTTAAGAACTCTGGTCGCTCTTACAGAGGATCCAGGTTCAGTTCCCAGCACCCACATGTCAATTCACAAACATTCCTAACTTCAGTTCCGGGGAATCCAACACCCTCTTCCGACTTCTGCAGACACCAGACACACATGTAGTGCACATACATACGTGCAGGCAAAACACTTAATGAAACGGGCGTTGGTGGCGCACGCCTTTAATCCCAGCACTTGGGAGGCAGAGGCAGGCGGATCTCTGTGGGTTTGAGGCCAGCCTGGTCTACAAAGTGAGTTCCAGGACAGCCACCAAAGCCACAGAGAAACCCTGTCTCGAAAAACAAAAAACAAAAAAACAAAAAAATAAAAACACTTAATGAATCTACTTTTAATGTTTAGAAAGAAAAGTCTCAGTTCATAGACTACCCAAAGAAAGCGTAGCATTTAGGAGGTGGCAGGAGCCTAGGCTATGTCAGATGAGAAGTCAGTGTGGTGGCTCTCGGAAGGGCAGGTGGCTCGGCAGGAGTGGGCCTGTGGTGTACCTCTGCAGGCTGAGCATCCTGCCACAGACACCAGCTCTTGTATCAGGCATTGGGATGTTCGTGAAATATGGGATCCCAGTACAAATGAGAAGCCCAAAAACAGAATCCTGTCTCCCTAAAGGTGGGGCTTGCTCCCAGCTGAACCAAGCCAAAGGGTTATTTGGCCCCTGCAGCTGGCAGTGGTCATGGTCAACATGACATTTTAAGCATTGGGATGGGGTCTCACTGTAGTCCATGTTCATCTTGTCCTTCCTCTCTGCCCCTGGAGTGCTGCTGGGGTTATGCACCTCACCTGGACATAGTTATTTTTCATCCCTGAAGATGGAAGCAGGATGTTCTTAGGCCCAAGAAGACTTGTAAATTTATGAAACAAAAATATAGAAAGCAAAGATAGAAACAGCCAGTAAAACACGGTCCCCCAGGTTCTCACATTTGTCTGTTTGTCCCAAGAGCTACAGCGTTGGCGCAAGTAATGCTGAACACGTCTGGGAGCCACAGAGGGCGCGTGTGACAGAGACAACCGCAGCAAGGACTACACACTTTAAATTTGTCCTGGGGACAGCAGGGTGCAAATAATAAAACTGCTGAAAACACCCTTTTCTTCCTTCCTTGGTTTTTTTGTTTTTGTTTTTGCTTTTATTTTTTTTAATAAGCTGGAGAACAATCTATTAGCATTTAGGAGAAGAAATGGGGCGGGCAGGCTGCTGGGGGGGGGGGTAAAGTCGTCACAGTGCTTTTCTTCTTTTAAGAAGGGCTCACCCGGCCGGGCGGTGGTGGCGCACGCCTTTAATCCCAGCACTCGGGAGGCAGAGGCAGGCGGATCTCTGTGAGTTCGAGGCTGGGCTGGACCGATAGCCTCCAAAACAATACAGAGAAACCCTGTCTCGAAAAACCCAAAAATAAAAAAAAAAAAAAAGAAGGGCTCACCCTGTAGCCCTGGCTCGCCCACAGAGATCCTCCTGCAGAGTGCTGGGATTAAAAGTGTGGGCCTCCAGGCCCAGTGTAAGTCATGCTTCCACGTACCTTCCATCACTGAAGGGAGTCAGGGCGGAAGGTGGAGGCAGGAACTGACAGAGGCCATGGGGAGTGCTGCTTACCAGCTGGCTCAGTCTACTTGTCAAGACCACCAGCCAAGGGTGGCCCCACCCACCATGGGCTGGGCTCTCCCCCCATAAATCACTAATTAAGAAAATGTCCAATGGGCCAGCCCACAGCCTGATTTTTATGGAGGCATGACCTCAGTTGAGTTTCCCTACACTGATGACGCCAGCCTGTGTCAAGTTGACAGAATCACCCAACACAAAACACTTTTCCTCTCAGATGCTCAGTGTTGTGCCCTGAGAGCCTCACCACACACACCATCACCACCCCTTAATACCTAAAGACAGAGCTTGCCCACAGAGAAATCATGTTGCCTGGAGACTTTTACCAAGGGCGTTTGTTTATACCATGTGGGACCAAGCGTTCAAACACATGAGCCTATGGGGACCCTTCTCATTTAAACCGCCACAGGGACTCATTCAGAGCTCTGAGCCTAGAGAAGCTCCACACCCGTCCACATGTGGACCAGCTAAGAGTTGGGTGCATGCTGATGCCAGGTTGCCATAGACCTGTGTGTGGGGTAAGGGAGGGGGGGTCCCAAAGAGGATGTGTGGAGTGGGGGGGGCGGGACACCACACACAGCTGAGAGTCGATCGGGTTGGCTGCTAGCAGCCTTTGCTTGAGAAAAGATTATACTTTTTATGCTGTGTAGTTGCACTTGGGATTAAACTGGAGACCAGGGACATGTGGACTGGGATCAGGAGTTGAGGATGCCAGCCTTGACCTTGACAGTAGGCACCAGTCATGAGTTAATGAAAGGGCCGCAAGTTCCTCTTGCTAGAGATAAGACTGGCTGCTTTATCAAGCAGGAACTTTCCACAAGCCCCCCAGGGAATGGAGAGACACGATATTACAGTTTCTTACTCTCACTATACGACCTGTTACCCTCATAACTCTCCTAAAAGGGAAGGTTCTGACGCCTTACTCTTCTCCCATTGTATTGCACCATTTTGATTTCTCTATTAACTGAACTCTTGTTTTAATGGCCTCGGGCTCTGGATCTGAATGGTAGGCATTTCATCCTTGGGATAAGGTGTGTCTAGTAAATCTCTAACTTTCCTGTTCTTGGTGTAGTTAGGAGGGCACAATGGAATTTCTGGTTCCGTGGTGGCTGGGATTTTTTTCCCAAAGAATTATGTTGTTTAGAGAGGCTACCATTGTATACATTTTTTTTTTTAACATTGGTGTTTGCCATGCATGTATGTCTGTGTGAGGGTGTCAGATCTTGGAATTACAGACAGTTGTGAACTGGTGTGTATGTGTGTGTGGGTGCTGGGAATTGAACCCTGGTCCTCTGGAAGAGAAGTCAGTGCTCTTAACCACTGAGCCATCTTTCCAGCCCCCCAATTGTACACATTTTTATCCTTTACCAAAGTCTGCACAAAATTTCCCAAAGGGAAAGGCATTAATTTCGACAATCATTAAAAATGGAAGTAAAAGGTGGGGCTGGAGACATGGCTCAGAAGTTAAGAGCACTGACTGCTCTTCCAAAGGTCCTGAGTTCAATTCCCAGCAACCACATGGTGGCTCACAACCATCTATAATGAGGTCTGGTGCCCTCTTCTGGCCTGCAGACATGCAGGCAGAATACCATACACATAATAAATAAGTAAATAAATCTTTTAAAAAAAGAAAGTAAAAGGTGCTGGAGAACTGTGGTCTGCAATGCTGAAATACTGGAACTTTGTCAAACAGCAATGGTCACCATGCAGTCCACGCCACCAGGTATCCTGCGGAGTTCTGTCACATGTACTGGGTCATTTTACCTGTACAACCATCCTGCTTGTGTTCTACATAGAGGAAGCAGACTAGAGGAGGTTAGGCAGTTTTCCTGTGTGGCTAAATGCTATCCCACAGCATCCTAGGGTGGTTTGAAATGGTATCATGCAAACCCGCCCCCTGGGCCTGTGTTACACATTGCCTCAGCAAAGCCCTTCTGCTGAGGGAGGCCAGGTAGCCATGCTGCACCTAGTCCTTCTGCAGGCTGCCTTTTTCTATACTGGAAAAGTTCACTTAGCTGCCCCCTTCTCCCCAGTGGGTAAATAACATTGTGTCTGCTTCGTCATGGTGGAGACTTCTATCCTGGTCACTGCCTTAGCTCAGCAGAATATGCCATTTCTATATGCCTACGGCTAATCCCCCTGTGAGGGTTAATCTGTGTCAGCTTGGCTGCCTCACCTGGGAGACAGGCCTCTGGGTAGTATGTCTGTGAAGGTGCTAGGCCTAACTGAATGGAGAAGACAGCCCAGGGATCCATGGAATCCATGTGGCCATGCTACAATACAATACAGTGCACCCTCTCTGTGCACAGGATCCCCCAGACTGAATTTTAAAAATAAAAGAAGGAAGCTATCATTTCTTTTTCTGGGCTTCCTTGAATGGATTCAATATGACCAGCCAGGTCACGCTCCCACCATGGTTTCCCTGCCATGACTGACTGAATCCTCTCAAAAGAAATCCTAAGTTGGCTGCTTTGTCACAGCATCACAAAATTAAAAAAAAGGAATTAAAAACAACTTCACATTAAGATGCAATAAGGATATTCTCAAATTTAAACAAGCCATATGGGGAAGCAGGTGTCAAGCTGAAAGCAGCTGTTTGATTGGATTGCCCACTTCCGGGAGCACTTGAGGCTGCTGACCCAGAGCCGGAGCACAGGAGCCGGACACGGGATACAGACTGGCCTGCTGGAGTTCAGGGCACTGCTCCCTCCCACAGTTAGCCAACCTCTGCCTGTTGTAGTTTTTGGCAGCTTGCTCAAGCGCAGGATAGATGGGAATAAGCCAGATGCTGTAGGCTGTTTTCTGCATCCTGTGTCTCACTGGGGTGATGGGACTCACTGGACCACGGGTGCAGAATTCCATGGTGAGGCCATGGAGCCCCTTCACTAGGAGGATTTCCAGTTCCCTTGCTACAGGCTAGGTTTTGATGACTCCAACAGGCACAGTTTTCTTCACTGGCATGGTGGCCTGGGTTTTGAAAAGGAAGAAAGGTAAAGTCATGCCTTCTTATAGATTCTCCATACGAAAGTCCCTGCTTGTCGAGGAAACCACAGGCTAGTTTTCAAAAGAATGTATTGGTTTCTCTAGCCTCACAGGGGTCTTGTTCAGGAGACTAAGGTGGGAAAACCTCATAAGTGCCATGGTTTGAGACCAGCCTGGGAATAATCGCAAGATCTGACCCATAAGAGAGACTTAAGATTCTGGTTCAGCTCCCATATTGCCAGACAAAGTAGTTCTTGATTTCCAAGGTTCCTAAAGTCAAACAAACAAGAAAATAAACATTCTGTCCTCTTGCCTAGTGTTCTAATGTAACTATTCTTTTTTTTTCTTTTTGAAACTAGGTTTTGTGTAGCCTAGGCTGCCTCTCTATATAGCCAAGGATGACCCTGAACCATCTTCCTGGCTCCGCCTTTTTTATTTCTTTTTTTTTTCAAGACAGGATTTCTCTGTGTAACAGCTCTGACTGTCCTGGAACTCTCTTTGTACACCAGAGATCTGCCTGCCTCTGCCTTCCTAGTGCTGGGACTAAAGGCATGTGCCACCTGATTATTTGTTTGGTTAAAGAGAAAAATCACAGTGCAGGACAGATGATAATCTACCTCATAAAGGCATTGTTTATGGTTTACATTTTACTTACGTATTTTGAGACAGGGTCTTACCATGCAGCCCTAGTTTCCCTGGAACTCACTATGTAGACCAGGCTGACCTCCAACCCAGAGACCCGCCTGCCTCTGCCTCCTCGGTGTGGTGCTAGGATCAAAAGTGTATACCACCATGCCCAGCAGTTTGGTTTTCTTTGCAGACAGGGACTCACTCTGTAAGTAGCCTTGTCTGGCCTGGAGCTCACTTTGTAGATTAAATGAGCCCCAGACTTGTTGCAGTCCTCCAGACTGAATGGTGCATGCCAGGCTTACAGGCGTATGCCTCCACACCAAGCCCTTGGTTCTCTGAGTTCACATCCCTGAGCCCCAGTGTGGCATCCTCGTCTGCTACAGATGTGGAGTCGTGGTCTCCAACCAGCCCTCCCCTGCAGCCTCAGCAGACGGAAGCACTCTCCCTGCTCTGTGGGCTCTTTCACTTACCTATGGTGCAAGCTGGGCCCTGGAGCTGCAGGCAGGAGGCAGGGTCCAGCTCTTCTGATGGTGAACTATGGGCTTTGCCTGGGAAGGGGCCACTAGTGTTCTGTTGGAAGAAGCTGGAGTTGTTGGATCCCTGGGCTGGCTAACAAGCTGTAGATAGAGTGAAGTCAAGAGGAAACCATACTGCAGAGACTCCCTGTGTAGACTTGGTCACCCAGATACCCCTATCCTATGGTTTGGGGATTTGGCTTTTGTATTTTGACATGAGAGATTGCTTTGGATGGGGGGGGTTGATTTGTTTTGCTTTTACCAATAAATCTTTTTTAAAAAAAGAAGTAGGTCTTTGAGAATTTCATATGACATGTCTTGAGCATATTCATACACACACAGAGAGAGAGAGAGAGAGAGAGAGAGAGAGAGAGAGAGAGAGAGAGAGAGATTTGAGACAGGGTTTCTCTGTGTAGCCTGAGTGTCCTAGAACTCGCTCTGTAAACCAGGCTGGCCTTGAACTCACAGAGGTCCTCCTGCCTCTGCCTCCCGAGTGCTGAGATTAAAGTTGTGAGCCACCACCGCCCATGGAGGGATTTTATTTTGAGACAGTGTCCCATGTAACTCTGGCTAGCCTCAAGTTCAAGATGTAGCCAAGGGCAGCCCTGGCCATGGCCAGATCCTCCTCCTGCCTCCGCCTCACCAGTGTTAACATTTCAATTACCAAAAGCACACCTGTGGAAGAAGTTACCTGCGCAGGAACTTAGAAAAAAAGAGGTTTGCTGAGCTGACATTCTGGAGGCTGGGGTCTAAGACCTAGAGGTGTCTGCTTGGCTCCTGGGCAGGACCTTGTGCTATGCCAAGTCAACAGGTAGCGGGTACGTGCAGAGAGAGAGGAGGGGCCGTATGGAGCAGAGGACGGAAGCAAGAAAATCCAACTTGCTTCATAACAAGGATCTAGTCCCACGAGGATGCTGGAGATCTCCTACTAGGCACCAGGCCAACACTACTGCCCTGACGAACAGTACAGCCTGGAGGTGAGCAGGTGATCCTAACACATTCAAATCCAAACAGGCAATGTGCGGGTGATGCTTGGTGCTGGTCCAGAAAAACTGACAAGTCCTGGAGGGGTCATCCCAGGGCACAAAAGAGTCTTCTATTTCCCCCAACCTTTTAAGATTCATTTTGTTTTTTTAATTATGTATGTGTATGGGTTTGTGCCCACAGAGGCTGGAGGAATCAGATCCCCTGGGTGCTGGGAACTAAACTGGGGTCCCCTGTAAGAGCAGTGCCTGCTCAGAATCACTGAGCCCTCCCCAAGTTATCCTCATCTCTCTAGTTACTGAAAAAGCCCTTATCCCGGAGTGATGGTGCACACCTTCAATCCCAGCCCTGGGGAGGCAGAGGCAGGTGGATCTCTGAATCTGAGATCAGCCCGGTTCACACAGCAAATCTGAGGCCAGCCGGACCTCAAACAGAGCTAAATAGTAAGATAGAGAGGATAGGAGGGAGGGACAGAGGGTTGGAGGCATGAAAAGACAGACAAGCATTAGGAGACTGGGACGGTCAGCCGTAGCTCAGCGATAAAACACTTGGGCTCCGTCTCCAGCACTAAGATGGGGTGGGAGATATGATGGGCTGGGCATGGCCTGGAGATAATAGTGTGCTGACCCTTGAAGTGAGTTCCCACTGATACCTGGTAACAATGGGGGTAATATGTGTTTCCCTAGGAACCAGGAAAAGTGATGTAGCGTCGCAGTCTTCATTCAGAGAACTGACTTTGGACTGTCAGTGAAAAACATTCCCGTGGGATGTCAGGATGACTCGGTTGGTAGAAGTGCCTACTGCCAAGCCTGAAGACCCGAGTTCTACCCTTGGGACGCAGGTGGTAGGAGGAGAGAACCAATTGCCCCAAGCTGTCCTCTGACTCCCACGTGTTCGCCATGGCATGCACGTATCCACATACATTACATATAAACACAATAACAAGCAAAGAAAGGAAACCGTCCCTGTTGCCCAGCCAAAGAAAAGGAAGGCCCCGGGGTGATTATGGGGGGAGGGGTCTTACCCAGTCTCCACCATGGAGGGCAGGGACACTGGGAGGAGCTACTGCATGCTCAGGTGCCCGTTACACAGGACATGTGTCTTCTACAGGATTGGGACTCAAAAGAGTGGGGTCTCAAGCCGGGCGTTGGTGGCGCACACCTTTAATCCCAGCACTCGGGAGGCAGAGGCAGGAGGATCTCTGTGAATTAGAGGCCAGCCTGGTCTACAGAGCGAGTTCCAGGACAGCCTCCAAAGCCACAGAGAAACCCTGTCTCGAAAAAAAAAAAAAAAAAAGAGTGGGGTCTCTTGAGACTAGGACAGTGTTAGGAAGCGCAGACAGGTGTGGCAGGCAAAAGATGGGACCCTGTGTGGGCACCCCGAGTGCTGCGCTTACCTTCACGTTACTGGGGTGCAGTACCTGACTCATCTTGGGACTGAGGGGAGGAGGGAGAGGGAGGAGTAGGACAGGGGGGAGAGAGAGTGTGCATGTGTTAGAGTCCACTCTGGCCTCCACCCCAGCTCGTTAGCACGCTCAGCGCCAGCCTGCTGCAGACTCCCCATTCCAGAGCCCCTAGGGAAGGAGCCCTCACTGCGCAGAACTGCGGAGGACCGGGGAGTGATAGGAATGTCCCCCACTCGTTTCTAGGACAGCCTGTGAGAGGTACACACCTGCCTGCCCCATTGTGAGCACGTGTTAAAGAGGGAGGGCTGGAGTCCACCCAGCCAACAGCACCCAGAAGCCAGGGTGGGGCAGCAGCACAATGAAAACCACTAGGGAGATACTTGCTAGATGGTCTCCAGCTAAGGGCAGAGAAAAGTCCAGAAGGGCCTAGATCCAGATGGTAGGGCCCAGCACTCCAGTAGGTTAGGGAGATGGAAGAGACATACTTACTGCCCAAATTGGCACTTAGGTCCCTTGGGGCAGAAGCCGGTGAAGTAGTTGAGACACATTACTTGATGGACATGGCGGTATTTACACAGGGGACCTACTAGACAAAGAGGGAATGGCCAAGAGAGCCAGCTTCATCCAGAGGAGGAAGTCTACATGAGACAGCTCATGAGGAAAAGCATGGGCTGTGGTAGGTTTCCTGCCGTTGATGTCCCCGAAGCCAGGAGACAGATGGGGTAAGGAGCCTCGGCTCCAGTAAGGGCTGGACGTGTGTTTCAGTGGTAAAGCACAGGCCGACCACGCTGCAGGCCCTGGGTCCCCCCAGCATGAAGAAGGCGAGAGCACGCTCGAGCCACGTTTCCTCAGCGGTCCCTCCCAACCCGGTATAAGAATCACACCGGGAGACATATGGTCATGGGGCCCCGTGATCCACAGACAGCCTACAAAGTTTGTCTGGGAGCAGGGCAAAGGATAGAGCTTAAGTGGCATTTGGGAGCTGGGACTCATGGACTAGACCTTCTGCTAGAATTCTCAGCCAGGGTCCACACCCACCCGCCGTTGAGGAGGGTAGGACATAAATCCCCCAGCCTTCCCTGGGAAGCCCACTGTGTCCTATGCCAGGCTGCATTTTCCAGCATCTCAAGAGGCTTGTTCTACAAGCCTGGGACAGCTTCGGGACAGCTTCAGGACAGCTTTCACTGGGCTATTTACATGGCACAAAGCCTCATTGGGAGTACCGCTGAGCGCCTCGCCTGGACCACACTCATCCCCCTGTGCATCCCATCCCCGCCCACTGAGCTCTTACCGTCCTTGCAGAACCCTCGGTCATACCAAGGGCAGTCCCGGGGCTTGGCAGCTGGCTTCACGTGGAGAAAGGAGCAGTCCTTGTTGCTGCAGTTACCTGAAAACCCATTGTGCTTTGTATATAAGCAGGCTCACACTTAGGACCACCTCTGCATCCCCACCCCAATTTACCTTGACCCTCCCACCCATGGAACCCACGGGCCCGTCTTCTGCTTGTCCATCATCTTCAGAGGACCTCTGCCACGGGAAGAGAAAGTTACCCTCCGGTCATCTTCACTGTGAACCCTCCACTATCTCCAGAGCCTGAGGAGGGGCAGGGGTGTTTTGGAGGAAATACTAAGGACATAGCAGAGGTCACAGTAGGACCAAGCGGCCACCTTTCAGAGGGACTGCGTTAGCCTTGAGTCTAGGCTGTGCTGTCTGTGGGGGAAACAAAGTCTTGATCTTCTGCATTCCCACAAGGTGGCAGCCTTCTAGACACTGGCTGCCTGCCGGTGTGGCTTGTAGGTTTCACTTAGGCAGATCTGAAGGAGAAAGAAGAACTGTTCTGTCTCCTTTCCGTGTAGAAACCTGTGAAGATTTCTTCTCTCACCCTCCCTAAAAGCCTAGGACTGTGCTCTTTGAAACTAACAGGAAGTTCATAAGGTCTGCCAGAGAGTTATCTTATACATGGAACTTTTTTTTCTTTTTTGGTTTAGTTTTTTAAGACAGGGTTTCTCTGTTTATCTTTGGAGCCTGTCCTGGAACTCGATTTGTAGACCAGGCTGGCCTTGAACTCACAGCGATCTGCCTGCCTCTGCGTCCCAAGTGCTGAGAATTCAAGGTGTGCGCCACCACTGCCCAGCTACATGGGACTTTTTTACATGATGATGCTTTACCTGAGGAAGATTTCTCCATTTCACAAATGTGAATGCCAGCCATCAGAGAGAAGTGCCACATCTGTCCACTCAACTTCCTTACACCAAAAGGACTTATTGGTACATCCTCTGCTGTCCCCTGGGTTTAAGCCTCTTTAGGAGTCATAACAGAGGGACACATACACCTATCTGTCCATCCCAGCTGCACGTTGCTATATCTGCTCCTGGCCAGAAGATGGCAGCAATACCCCAACATCCAATGTCTTATGGATACCAGAGCTTTCCAGCTCCCAGGCATCTCGTGTGTGTATGTGTGTGTGTGTGTGCGCGCGCGCGCCCCTGAGTTCCTTGGACTTAGTTACAGAGCATGAGCAAGGCATTACTGACCCCAAAATAGTGCTATCCCCCGCCTAGCTTCATGGATGCTGGCTGCATCATAGGTCCTTTCCGTTAGGTTACTTCTTGGGTACCCTATGTATCACTTGCAACTCAGCAGCATTTCTTTGGTTTTGGTTTTCTGTTTTGTTTGCATTGGCTTTGGGTTTTGGAGACAGGGTTTCTCTTTGTAGCTCTGGTTGTCCTGTAACTTGCTCAACAGACCAGGTTGACCTCAAACTCACAGAGATCCATCTGCCTCTTTCTCCCAAGTGCTGGGAATAAAGGTTGTGCCACCATGCCTGGCTCAACAGTATTAAAAAAAATCAGAGACATTGAAGCAGGGCGTGGTAGCACATCCCTTTGACTTTGAATCCTTCCTTAATGTCCCAGATACTAGGGTTACAGCATGCAATATATACATATAAATTTTTTTGAGGCAGGGTCTTACTATGTAATTATGGCTGGCCTGAAACTCTACATAGACCAGGCTGGCCTTGAACCCATAGAGATCAGGCTGCTTCTCTCTGCCTCTTGAGTCCTGATTAAAGGAATGTACCACCACACCTAGCATATAATTATATAATTATTTTTGTAATATTAGAGATATTTGCTCATTGTTAAGAGCAAAACCTTGGGCTGGAGAGATTGTTCAGAGGTTAAGAGCACTGACTGCTCGTCCAGAAGTACTGAGTTCAATTTCCAGCACCCACATGGTGGCTCACAACCATCTGTAAAGAGATCTGGTGCCCTCTTCTGGTGTGCAGGCAGACATGCAGACAGAATGCTGCATCTTTTTAAAAAGGAGCAAAACCTTAGGTTGCATATACTCATGACTTTACACATCTGCCCTGAATTACTTGCAGGCAAATGTGCCCCCACTTCTGTTTCCGGTACCACATCTGATCACCTAGCCAAGAAACCCAGAGTTGAGAGAGTTAAAAGGACATTTCTAAGTGAAAGTGCTTTAGTCAGTGACTTCAGGGGACCAGCCTTTGAACAAACTGTCCTTTTATTCTAGAAAGACACTGTGCCATCCCTGCCACAGGACTTGGCCCCACAGAGCAGTCTGGAATGCTGGACTGGAAGAATGGGATGAACTTTCCCTGCCCTGGAGAGACTTTGCCCCCTTCAAGGTACCCAGGACCCCTCCCATCAGCACTAATGAAACTGACTATCTGCAAAAAGTGTGGCCCTTCAGTCTCTTAAATGAGGGCTGGGTCTGGAGAGCCAGCATGCTCCCTTCCTCCTATTTCTCCTCCCTCCCTCCCCTCCTTCAGCCCCTCAGTTTGGAAACCAATGGACTAGATCAAACCAGACCCACTGGAGCTAATCAAACACCAAGCTGTAGATTGACACCGAGAAGGTAAGACATTCACAGACTCCATCTTCCATGGAGGGGAAAGGTGACTGAGGCTGCCCTAAATAGCTCCTTGGATGACCAAGAGGGACTTGAGGCTTCCCAAGGGAGGCTGGAGCAGACCTGCCCACACAAGATAATTTTAGGGACTAGACTTCTGAACTCCATGGCTTTATATACACAGTGACTGACCTTCTCTTTCCAACAAATGATGTAGGCTTTCCCCTTTGGGAGGTAACATGACATTTTCATCTAAAATAAATGTTAGAAATAGCAGGAGAGCAGGAAGAAGATGGGGTGTGGGTGCCTCATGGGTACCGGTGACCGTTCTGAGCACAGCTACCAAATGCATCTCATTTGGGGAGGCCTGACTGGGCACAGCAGGGACTGAGAGACGGGTTGTTCAGGCTATTCCTGGCAGTCCTCTGGGTGTGGATTAGCCATGCCTGCAGTGGGGAACAACATTCTCTTCCCTTTGATGTAACCGCCCAGCTGACACCAAAAAGGGCAGATTCAGCTCTGCATCCTTTATTTTATTTATTTATGTTTGTTTGGTTTTGTTTTTGTTTTTTGTTTTTGAGACAGGGTTTCTCTGTGTAGCTTTGGAGCCTGTCCTGGAACTCACTCTGTAGACCAGGCTGACCTTAAGCTTTCAGAGATCCACCTGCTTCTGCTTCCCAAATGCTGGGATTAAAGTTGTGTGCCACCACCGCCTGCCTCCCTGTTGGTTTATTTTTGAGAGAGTTTTGTTGTGCAGCCCTAGCTGGTCTGGGGCTTACTAATGGCTTCAAACCCAGAGACCTGCCTGCCTCTGCCTCCTAGGTGCTGGGATTATAGCTGTGTTCCACTGGGCCCAGCCTTGGTTCTATTTTCTTGAGGGTTCAGAGAAGCAGGCAGCTTGGGCTTAGACAGATAAGGATGGCTTCGGGGGCTTCTATCCCTACCCATCACCCCCCACACAAACCAGGCAGGGCATTACCGAACTTTGAGTGGAAGTAGCACACCGGCATCCTGTCGACGTCATACTGGTGCAGGAAGTTGCAGCAGTCACCCTTCCGGCAGAGCCCCCGAAGCCAGTGTTTGCACACCACCATCTTCTCGCCCTTCTCATGCCGAAGCGGGCACAGCATCCCTGCAGAAGGCGGTACCTGCGGTAGGCCTCACCTAACCTGCCTGGAGGGGCTCCCAGGGCCTGTGAGGTACTCCTCCCCCACCTCTGTCCTCTCGGCGTCCCAGCACCCGAACACAGCCTAGGAAGGAAGGGCTAGAACAGTGTTAGAGGACCACACTGGGAAAGAGGTTATCATAAGAGACAGTGGGCCCCTCTCCCAGAGCCAAACCCCAGGAACCTCCAGGACACATGGGAGAGCAGTCGCCTCACCCCATGGCCATACCCAGCTCTTGCCATACTGTAAGGGCTTGCTGAATTCATGAGTTTTGCAGGGAGGCAAATGTTTTGGATTTGTTTCTTCCTTGTTTAAAAAAGAAAAAAGTAGCTGGAGAGATGGCTCAGAGGTTAAGAGCACTATCTGCTCTTCCAGAAGTCCTGAGTTCAATTCCCAGCAACCACATGGTGGCTCACAACCATCTGTAATGAGATCTGGTGCCCTCTTCTGGCCTGTGGACACACATGCAGACAGAATACTGTATATGTAATAAATAAATCTTTAAAAAAGAAAAAAGTTTTAGGTGTTTGTGTGTGTGTGTGTGTGTGTGTGTGTGTGTGTGTGTGTGTGTGTGTGAGTGTGCAGGAGCCCTCACAGCTCAGAAAAGACGTCTAATCCCCCAGAACTGGAGTTACAGACTCTTGTGAGCTGCCAGGTGGACGGGGAGCAGCAGCAGGGTCCTCTGCAAGAGAAGCAGGTGACTTTAACTGCTGAATCTCTCTTACTGTTTTTGAAACAGGGTCTCATGTAGCCCTGACTGGTCTCAAATTATTATGTTGCCATGAATGACCTTGGGTTTCTGATCCCTCTGCCTCCCACACTTGAATGCTGAGGTTACTCAGTTTATGCATGCACGCTGGGATCACAGGCCTAATGCATCTTTAGGCTACCCACAGAGCACCTGCTCAGCGTGTATTCATGACTTCAAACAGTAAGAACTGTTGGGTAGTAGTGGTGCACACCTTAATCCCAGCACTCAGGAGGCAGAGGCAGGAGGATCTCTGTGAATTAGAGGCCAGCCTGGTCTACAGAGTGAGTTCCAGGACAGGTTCCAAAGCTACAGAGAAACCCTGTCTTGAAAAACAAAACAAAACAAAGCCAGGCATTGGTGGTACACGCCTTTAGTCCCAGCACTCTGGAGGCAGAGGCAGGTGGATCTCTATGAGTTGGAGGCCAGCCTGGTCTACAGAGCAAGTTCCAGGACAGCCTCCAAAACAATACAGAGAAACCCTGTCTCGAAAAAACAAAAAACAGAACAAAAAAGAATACAGCCATGAAACAGGTGACTCTTAAAACGGGTGGTCATTAGAAAAGTTAGATTTGACCACCTCGGTATCTTATTCAGTAGACACTGCCACCGGAAGGGAAGGGTTGTGTCTCAAGGGGACTTGATTTATGCATGACCAGAGTGTCCCCTTTAAGAGCCCCTTCCCCAGCCACCATGCACGCATACACACACTTCCGGCCACCCCTGGTGCTATGACCTTCCTCAGTAGCAGCCTTCTTTCTTTGCAAGAAAAAAAGCCATCTCCGGTGCTGGAGAGATGGCTCAGTGGGTCATCTTCCAGAGCACCTGGGTTCAATTCCCAGCACCCACATGACAGCCCCCAACTATCTGTAACTACAGGGAATCTGACACCCTCATACAGACATAAAACAAATAAGTCATTAAAAAACAAAAAGTAAAAGAAAAGAAAGAAGCCATCTCTTTTGAGTTGTGAATGACTCAGTCTGTAATGGACCTGGAAGGTTCTAGTTGCCCAGAGCCCTGGGTGGCCAATGAGCTCCTTTCCTTTCTCATCCACCCGTCTAGAAGTGCACAAACAGGTCTGGGTCCTCCTTGCTTGACCTCCTACCTCCTGGCTTTTAGAAACAGAATAATAAGGGTCCCCAAGGCAGGCTCCCTAAGAGCCTCTTCACCTGGATTGATTGGCAGGCTTGGGGGGCAGGGTGGAGGAATAGGAAACCCTACTATTAGGAGTAAAGTATTCTGGCAAGTGTATATTTCTGTTGGAGGAACCTCAAAGTGACCCACAATCCAGAAGAGAAGGCCAAATGCCCAGGGAGGGATTTGCAAGGGAGAGCCCTGAGCAGCAGTGGCCATCACTCAGGAGGCTACCTAAGAGCTGAAGAAGTAGCCGGGATGATTGATCAGATTCCATGTTGATTCAAGGTGGGGAGGCCTGGTCGGGAAGAGGATGAGTTAGGCTGAGGAGGACTGGAGCATGAGAACACAGGTCAAAGGCCCCGGCCCACCACTGCCTCATAAGAAGAGATTATCGGGCTGGAGGGATGGCTCAGTGGTGGTTAAGAACACCAGCTGCTCTTCCAGAGGCTCTGAGTTTGGCTCCCAGCACCCACAGGGGGCAGCTCACAACCATCTGTAACTACAGTTCCAGACAGACCCAATACCTCCGGTTTCTAAGGACACATAACCTCATGTTTGTATACCCACACACAGGTACACATAATTAAAAAAAAAAAAAAAAGTTTAGCCGGGCGACGGTGGTGCACGCCTTTAATCCCAGCACTCGGGAGGCAGAGGCAGGCGGATCTCTGTGAGTTCGAGGCCAGGCTGGACCGACAGCCTCCAAAACAATACAGAGAAACCCTGTCTCATAAAACCAAAATAAATAAATAAATAAAAGTTTGAAGAAGGGAATGGGGTAGCCCCATTACCCTGGTACAGATGCCAGGGGGTGGGCCACGCCCAGGCCACTGCTCTCCTCATGAGGCTGAATCCTGTCCTGCCCCAGGTGCCAAGCTCACATTCTCTCCTAAGCCCCTGCTCGACCCAGCATGGTCCTCACAGCCATTCCTGTTCCCGCCCAGCCCAGGAGGCCTGCCTCACTCACCTTTCTCACACAGCCCTTGAGCGAAGAAGTTGCACACAGCTGAGTTGGACTCTGGAGAAAGAAACAGAGGAGAAGGTAGCTTCCCAGAGCCGAGCTCCCTGCCAGGGAACCTCAAGATTCTCCTCGGGCAAGTCCCACCTAAGCCTCTTACAGGCTTGGGTCTGTGGGGGCCCCCGTTGATCCTCTCTGGCTACCATCTCTGGGTTTTTTATTTTCTGCTGTTTGCTTGTTTCTTCATTCGTTTATGAGGCAAGGTCTGAGTAGTCCAGGTTGGCCTGGAACTCTTAGCAATCCTCCTGCCTCAGTCCCTTGCTGGCCACAGATTCTGCCACCAGAAGCAGCTGTCACTTGTGTCCTGTTGTGGCGACAGTGAGTCAGAGGTACCTTCTTCCCAAGCCCCCCGTCCCGACCCCAACACACACTTAAACTCAGTCTATCTCTTGAGACAGGAGGTGCAAGTCTTTGGGGGCAGTCAGGGAGCCCTGGAGGCCAGCGAGGAGCTTGGAAATCTGTCTTCCTGCCCTGGACAGTGAACTAACTATCCGGAAGCCGTGTAGGAGAGACAGAAGGAAAGTGGAAGTCAGGGAGGACAGCTACTCAAGGACCTGGGCAGGGGAACCATGGCATTGCCACTTACTGTCCATGCCCTGGAAAGGCAGGAGCCCAGTGCCCTTCTGCAATTCCACATCCCGCTCAAAGGCGAATGTGACCCCTGCCAGCCCCGCGATGACCTCCTCCATCTTCAGTCTCTCACAGGGATAGCGGATAGTGCCCATAGCGCCAAGCCCCCGCAGGTGACTCCTATATAAATCCATTGGCACTTAAGGGGCCAGGCCCTATCTGAAGCTTGCTCCCCTCCCCCCCAAGTCACCTCTTCCTTCAGGGTGCCAGTGGCTAGGTGACTGCATGCGACTCTCTAACTGGGTGTACCAGAGAGGCCCCACAGCTGTCTCAACCCTCCTACCCATGCAGGTGCAAGCAGCCCACGCTGTTCACACAATAATCCCCCATCGTCCTCAGGTGGGGAGGGACTGGCAGACTCACACCTGCTTATCTCTGTATATCACCAAACACAGTCAGGCCAAACTAGTGCTCCACTGTGGATGTGGGGACGTAGCCACCGGTGAGCAAGGGAGACATTGGCACTAACCGACTACAGTATTGCCATATTCTGCCAGAGCGTGGGTGGGGTGGGGCGGGGCGGGGGTGGGGGACAGAGGAAAGCTTCAGTTGGGTCCCAGCCACTTTCCCACTCACCAGGCCCTCTGAGACCCTGCTCTAGACTGAATGACCAGCCCCAAGTGTGCTTTTCCTAGAAGAGGACAAAAGGGATGAAGGCTGGAAGAATCGGAAACAGTTGCATGAAGGGGTCCTTTGTTTACCCTGCAGGCAGTTGCAATTGTAAACTTGGATGGAGGGTGGAACCGACCCAAGCCTTGGGGGTGGAGGGTGGCCTCCCAGCTAGGAATCCGCTGGGCCACCCAGAGCCTTCCCACTCCCCCTCCCCCAGAACGTGCTTTGTAAATGAAATCTCCATGAAAATGTTGGTTTATTATTATTGTTATTATGCCAGCCCTGTCCCGCAGGGCTGAGGACTTCTGAATCGGCTTTCTTAGGAGCATTTTTAAAGCTCTAATTAAGCCAGGCTGTCCCCTCTTCCTGCTGGGTCCTGAACTGGCCTGGCCTCTCCTGGAGCCACTAACGTTTCCAGGACACTTTAGCCTTTGAGGCCCACAGAATCTCCTCCCGGGACCCAGCAGGGAGAGGTACACAGTGCCCTGCAGGCCTGGGGCTGAGCAGACAGAACCCAACCTGCCAGCTTTGTTTCCTGCGGCTAACACACCTACATCTGTTGTGCCTTTGAACTCCAGATCCGAAAAGAAAACAGCTGGAGAGATAACTCCACACTGGGAATGGCCTGGGAGCTGGGTGAGGCTGGAGTAAGATCCGTGTCCACACTGGGGACGGAAGGCAGAAAGGTTATGATGCCATCTAGGTCCCTGGGGAAGAAGCCCTGGCATCTCTTGACCCTATCCTTAGTATTGATTATGTCCCAGGACTGTCACCTTGGGCTCATTTGAGAGTCCCACGGGGTTTGGTGGAGAAGGCAGAACAGAGGAGGAAATCAGGGCCAAAGGCACATATAGTGCAATGTCCTAGAGCTAGGGACCGCCGTCCTCAACACTCTACACAGTGAGTGATGGATGGAATGATGAGGGCAGGGAAGACAGAACGGAGAGTAGGCTAGGAGAAAAGTCTGGCCATGACGGATGATGGGGGCGAGGGGAGATGTCCCAGAAGAGGAGCGAGAGCTAAGACCTGAGGCCAGAAACAATAAACATTCCATGAAGGGGGTCGGAGAAGGGGTACAGTGGATGTCAGGCTGGAAGGTGGGGAGTCTTATGCCGCCTCTGTGGCTTGTTTTTGTTTGAGACAAGGTCTCTCTACAAACCCCTGACCAACTTGGAACCTAGGAAGTACAGAGACCCTCTAGGCCAGCCTCTTCTGGGATTAAAGCTATGAGCTCCCAGACCAGCAGAGAATTGGTTTTTATCACAAAGGTAGCAGAACCTCCCAAGGACTCCCTGGAGAGGACAGATACCCTGGAGGATGGGCTGAGAGGAAAGATAGGAAGGGAGGGATGTGAAAATATCGGCTGAAGCCCTGGGGATGCAGCCTGAGGCACTTTCTGGAACTCTGGTGCCCCAAAGTGAAACCTCAGAGTCCCAACTGAAACACTTCCCCAGGGGAGTCACCCCCTTTTCCTCCACTCGTAGGTCAAGGGGCCCTTGTAGCCCCTGGTCTGCAGAACACGCTACAACACCAAAGTATAGGCTCCCTCCCCTGGCCTTCTCATGGTTAGTGAGAAGTAACTGGCCCCTGCCTCACCTAATGCCTTCTACAGTGGGCTGGGCCTTATTTGGAAATAAAGACTGCAGGCATCAGTAAACCAGGGGTTTTGAGATATGATCACCCTGTGCCTGTGTTGTGCCCAAATTCTGAAACCCCGAAGTCACAAAGAGACCAGTTTCGATGTCCCTTTCACCTGGAATCAGGGCCAGTCGGTCCTCGCAGAATTAGTGAAAGTCCTTGTTGGAGGAGAGGAGCCAGGCATGGTGACACACACCTGTAACCCCGGAACTAAGAGGAAGAAGTTTGAGGCCATCTCAGGCTACGCACAGTCTGCCTTAAATTGTAAAAACAGGAAAGAGTGATTTGAGATGCCCAGACCCTGAAGAGACGTGGGGAAACAGGCCACATGAAGACAGGAGGACACTGGCGCCATACTGCTACTTCAGGAAGCCAAGAACTGCAGGCAGCCACCACTGGAGTCACCCACAGGTGGACCTGGTATGGACTGTCAGGACTTTGCACATTTGGCTTCAAGAACATTAGAGAGAATACACTTCAGGAGTTTTCAGTCCCCTTCTTGTAACCTTACAGCAACAGCTGCCATGAATGTCACACCCTCCCTTTGGGGCATTTAGTTACCCAACTTACTCCTTTCACCGACTTGCTAACAGAAGGCCAGAGAAAGGGCTGAGGGTGTGGCTCAGTGATGGAAAACTTGCCTGGTGTGCATGGCAGCCTGCATCTAACCTTGCAAAAAGCAAACAATGAAACTGAGGCAGGACACAAAGACAGGCAAGAACCCAATGTGGGGCTCATGCCCGGAAGCCCAGCATTCAGGAAGCTAAGGAAGGGGGACTGCCATGATTGTGTGGTTTGGATGAGGATGGTCCCCATAGGCTCATATGTTTGGATGCTTGGTCTCTCCCAGTTGGCGGAACTGTTTGGGAAGGATTAGGAGCCCACACCATTTCCATTCCCAGTTAGCTAGTATGCTCTCATCCTCTCCGTGTCTGTGTCTTCCAGACAAACTTCCTCATCAGGATCACTGGATTACAAACAATGACACTGAGACTTACTAATTATGAAAGCTTGGTCTTAGCTTAGGCTTGATCCTAACTAGTTCTTTTTTTTTTTTTAAGATTTTATTTATTTATCATGTGTTCTACCTGCATGTATGCCTGCATGCCAGAAGAGGGCATCAACTCTCATTACAGATGGTTGTGAGCCACCATGTGGTTGCTGGGAATTGAACTCAAGACCTCTGGAAGAGCAGTCAGTGCTCCTAACCTCTGAGCCATCTCTCCAGCCCCTAACTAATTCTTATAGCTTAAATTAACCCGTCTATTTTAATCTACCTTCTTTTGCATGGCTCCAGTACCTTTACTCTGTACTGTCTGTCCATCCTGCTTCCTTCTTGCCTGGCTGGCGACTCTGCCTTTCTTCCTCTTTGAGTCCCCTCTGTCCCTAGAAGTCCTGCCTAACCTTTTCCTGCCTAGCTAAGGGTCATTCAGCTCTTTATTAAACACATCTTCATAGGAATATTCTGCAACACTTCCCCACTTTAAATAAAAAGGAAGGGTTTTAACTCTAACACAATAAAACTATAAACAAGAACAATTATCAGGTAAGAATTATATTCACAATTCATTTGTATTTGGCAAATTCAGAGGAAATACTCTATTACTCTATCTTATCTTGATGAATTTAAAGTTTTACACCTAAACCATTTTATGTCATAACTTGTTATTACCATCTTAAAACTGTTTTTTAGACCTCAAAATATTTTCTTAGATAAACAATTTAAACTTATACATTCTCTTTCTCTCTCTCTCTCTCTCTCTCTCACACACACACACACACACACACACACACACACATTTTATATCTCTGTGAATTTCTTTTATTTTTTATTTTTTAATTTGGTAACAAAGAAAACTAACGATAACTATCTCATTTTCCACTCCATTAGAGACCCTAGAAGGACTTAATATTACCTGGGTAAACAGGAAATACAGATCAATCAACTTCCAAAACTATAGAAATGACAGAAACAGGTGGCTGCCTGGACAGTTACCCAAGGTGCCTCTGCAATGCTGGGGCATCCAACCTTGGCCTCCAGGCCTAGAACATCTGACAGACTTTTCTGTGAAACAGGAATATTTGAAGACTGCCCTACCCTGTCTTGGCAAAATTTGGCAGTTAATTTGTGTGTGTGTGTGTGTGTGTATGTGTGTGTGTGTGTGTGTGTGTGTCCTGCTTGTCCAGTTTGGACAGCACACTGTCAGCAGTTGAGGAAAGGGCGTTTCTTGACCAAATGGCTAGCTTTGCCACAAAGAAAGCAAGCTCCACATGGAGATTCTTTGATGCCCATCATCCTTTTTTAAAGTAAATTGATGTTGGAGCAGATGTGTCTCATTGTCAGAAAAAGCCTTATCAAAACATCAAAATGCCATATCCTGTAGGTCTTTGAAGTGTTTGAAGACTGTCTGTCTAAAATATATCTCTGTTTGATCCTGAAAACATATCTAACATGACTATAAATTTGAGTGTTGTAGATGACTACTAACCTGTCTTTCTTTATTATCCTAAGTAGTTTTCAAGGGCTAAACGTTTATGCTACATTTTTAAATGAACTGCATAGGTATAACAACTTAAACAAGAGTAGAAATGTACACATTATAACAAATAGCCTTAAGTTTGTATGTATATGCAAAAATCCATACCAATGTAAAATATTTGAGACTAGTGGTTGTTTTTTTGTTTTACCTTGAAAGTAGATACAATACTCTACCCTTTCATCCTACAATTTCTTTCTTTCTTTCTTTCTTTCTTTCTTTCTTTCTTTCTTTCTTTCTTTCTTTCTTTCTTTCTTTTTTTGAGATAGGGTTTCTCTGTGTAACCATGCTGGCTGCCCTGAAACTTACT